CTCTCTTTCTCCCTCTCCCTCCCTCTCTTTCTTTTTTCATACTCTCTCTTTTTACTTTCTCTCTCTTTCTCTCTTTTTTCTCTCCTTCCTTCCTTCCTTCCTTCCTTCCTTCCCTCCTTCCTTCCTTCCTTCCTTCCTTTCTTTCTTCTTTCTTTCTTTCTTCCCTCCCTCCCTCCCTCCCTCTCTCCCTCCCTCCCTCCCTTCCTTCCTTCCTTCCTTTCTTTTCTCCTATCCAACGATTCTGGGCAACTCAACATAGAAAAAAACATTGAAAAAATTAAAATCCCCTGTTACAAAAACACAACAGATAAGAAACACGAAGAGATAAAACAATGGAGATAAGTTGGCAAAGAAGAGAGCCAGGGGGGGGGGTAGCCAGAGGCATGGGGGGAGAGGTGGCCCTGAATTTTAATGAGTTGGTCCCTGAGCCATCTAGCAAAGGCAGGCCAGATCTATGGCTATCTGGAAACATCAGGAGGTGGGCGCCAATCTCACCTCTGGGGTAGTAAAGATTATCAAGAGGGCAGAAAGCCATGGTAGAGAAAGCCCTTCTCCTGGACCCCGACATCCAAAATTCCTCGGCTGATGGGATCTGCGGTAAGCCCCCCCGCCTCTGCAAGCATGGGTCGGGTGGCCCAGTCGCATCGGGGTGAGGCAATCCCTCAGGTAGCTTGGACCAGTGGTGAAATCCAAATTTTTTTTACTACCAGTTCTGCGGGCGTGGCTTGGTGGGCGTGGTGCGGCTTGGTGGGTGCGGCTTGGTGGGCGTGGCAGGGGAAGGATACTGCAAAATCCCCATTCCCTCTCCACTCCTAGGGGAAGGATATTGCAAAAACTCCATTCCCACCCCACTCTGGGGCCAGCCAGAGGTGGCATTTATTTATTTATTTATTTATTTATTTATTTATTTATTTATTTATTTATTTTTCATATTTGTATACCGCCCTACTCCCGAAGGACTCAGGGCAGTGAACAGCCATAATAAATACAAATACATATAGAAGTTAAAAACTATTAAGAAACATTTGCCGGTTCTCTGAACTACTCAACATTTCCGCTTACCAGTTCTCTGAACTATTCAAAATTTCCGCTACCGGTTCTCCGAACTATTCAAAATTTCCGCTACCGGTTCTCCAGAACCTGTCAGAACCTGCTGGATTTCACCCCTGGCTTGGACCCATGCGGGCAGGGCTTTCAAGGGGATGACCAATATCATTAGCATTAGTGCCGCTTTTCAAAAAAAAAAAAAAAAAACCTCGTAAGGCCACACCTGGAATACCGCAACCAATTTTGGTCGCCATCCTACAAAAAAGATGTTGAGACTTTGGAAGAAGTTCAGAGAAGAGCAACTGAGATGATCAAAGGTAGCGATGGGTCTCTCAAATTCTGGCTACTGGTTTGCTGCCTTCCGCGCATGCACCCGGCCTTCCGCACGCTCGCTGTGCATGCACGTGCCTTTCACGCATGTGCTTTGTTCGTGCATGCGCATTCCGCGCATGCGCCCGGCCTCCCAACAGGTGGATAAATAGGACAGCATTACATCCGGGTGAGTGGGCTGTCCCACCCACAGTCACTGCTAGCGGTACGCCTGAACCGGTCTGAACCAGCTGAATACCACCTCTGATCAAAGGCCTGGAGACAAAACCATAGGAAAATCCCTTCCAATTCTGTTCCTGTTCCTCCTCCTCCTCCTCCTCCTCCTCCTCCTCCTCCTCTTCCTTTTCAAGAAGAAGATTGGCAGCCATTTGTCAGAAACAGTATAGGGTCTCCTGCCATGGGTAGGTGGTTGGACTAGAAGACCTCCAAGGTCCCTTCCAACCCGATTATTCTACAGGCAGTCCTCGACTTAACGACAGTCCCATTCAGCGACCGTTCAATGTCACAACGGCACTGAAAAAAAAAAGGGGGCATGACCATTTCCACTCTTAACGACCGTCGCAGCTTTCCTCCACGGTCAGGTGAACAAAATTCAGATGCTTCACAACCAGCCTGTATTTACAACGGTCTCAGCTTCCCCAGCGCTGGTGGTGGTAGTCACGTGAACTCCTTTTGCGACCGTCCTGATGAGCAAAGTCAACGGGAGAAAGCCCGGATCCGCTTAACGACCGCGTTCCTAACCCGAAGAACGCTGGCGATCCTCTTAGCCCGCCGGGGGCGAGAAAAATCCCCAAACGGTTGTGAAGCTCGCCTTAACCCGTGTCTCGCTTAGCAATGGAAACTTGGGGGGGGCTCGGTTGTGGGTCGTAAGTTGAGGATTACCGGCGTTTAATGTTCTTTTGGGCCAAATCCCCGCTCTTTTTTCCCGCAGGACACTCGGAGAACTTAACCGACGCCTTCGAGGGCTCCGCGTGGGATGTGGGCAGCATCGCACTGGCTCTCTACTCCGCCCTCTTCTCCTACTCTGGATGGGACACCCTAAATTTTGTCACGGAAGAAATCAAGAACCCCGAAAGGTCAGTCCCACCGAACAGCCGGACGGGTTTTCACTTGGTCCAAGCCAATGGTGGGATTCAGCCGGTTCGGGCCAGTTTGAGCAAACCGGCAGTTAAATTGCTAGCTGGCCCTCACCTTCCCCATACCGCCCCTTCCAGGAATCCCCATATACTCCATTTTGGCTCCCAGGTAAGTGCAGGGAGGACTCCTAGGCCCAAAACGGGGCATCGGGGATACGCTCCCCCCCCCGTGGCCTGTTTTCACTCCTAGGAGGCTGCAGGGAGGCCTCTAGGCCCAAAATAGGGTGCGGGGGGTACGGCGCCCTCCCCGTGGCCTGTTTTTACTCCTAGGAGGCTGCAGGGAGGCCTACTAGGCCCAAAATAGGGTGCGGGGGGTACGGCGCCCTCCCGTGGCCTGTTTTCACTCCTAGGAGGCTGCAGGGAGGCCTGCTAGGCCCAAAATAGGGTGCGGGGGGTACGGCGCCCCCCGTGGCCTGTTTTCACTCCTAGGAGGCTGCAGGGAGGCCTACTAGGCCCAAAATAGGGTGTGGGGGGGTACGGCGCCCTCCCTGTGGCCTGTTTTCACTCCTAGGAGGCTGCAGGGAGGCCTACTAGGCCCAAAATGGGGTGCGAGGGGTTATGGCGCCCTCCCTGTGGCCTGTTTTCATTCCTAGGAGGCTGCAGGGGGGCCTACTAGGCCCAAAATGGGGTGCGAGGGGTACGCGGCCCCCCTCATGGCCTGTTTTCACTCCTAGGAGGCTGCAGGGAGGCCTACTAGGCCCAAAATGGGGTACTGGGGCGCGCGGCCCACCCTCATGGCCTGTTTTCACTCCTAGGAGGCTGCAGGGAGGCCTACTAGGCCCAAAATGGGGTGCGGGGGGAGGTACACGCCCCCCCTCATGGCCTGTTTTCACTCTAGGAGGCTGCAGGGAGGCCTAGTAGGCCCAAAATGGGGTGCTTGGGGGTACGGCGCCCCCCATGGCCTGTTTTCACTCCTAGGAGGCTAGGGAGGCCTACTAGGCCCAAAATAGGGTGCGGGGGGTACGGCGCCCTCCCTGTGGCCTGTTTTCACTCCTAGGAGGCTACAGGGAGGCCTACTAGGCCCAAAATAGGGTGCGGGGGGGTACGGCACCCCCCCATGGCCTGTTTTCACTCCTAGGAAGCTGCAGGGAGGCCTACTAGGCCCAAAATAGGGTGCGGGGGGTACGGCGCCCTCCCCGTGGCCTGTTTTCACTCCTAGGAGGCTGCAGGGAGGCCTGCTAGGCCCAAAATAGGGTGCGGGGGGTACGGCGCCCCCCCGTGGCCTGTTTTCACTCCTAGGAGGCTGCAGGGAGGCCTACTAGGCCCAAAATGGGGTGCGGGGGTACGGCGCCCCCCCGTGGCCTGTTTTCATTCCTAGGAGGCTGCAGGGGGGCCTACAAGGCCCAAAATGGGGTGCAGGGGGGGGCAATGCTCCCATGGGGGATGCAGGAGGCCTAGTGCTGCCTGTCACACCCACTGGCCACGCCCACCATGGCCACGCCCACGCCCACCCAGCCGGTCATTAGGGCAGAGAACCAGTCGTTAAATTATTTGAATCCCACCACTGGACTCCAGGCCTCTGAGATCACTGGGATTGGCGTGTTCCCATCCCACGTCCAGAAGGCTTGCCCCCCTCCCCCCTCCCCGTTTCCCTGGAACAACCTGAGGATTTCTGATGCTTCCCCTCCCAAAGGGGGAAATTGAACCCGATCAACTGGCCCTTCCTTGTTCTTCAGACTTTGTCTCTCCCGTCAATAAATTCCTCGCTGGAGATTAATGTTGGCAGGAGTCCCTGGTTGGGCTGAAGGATCCTTCTCTTCCTTGGGTGTTTCTCACCACGTACTTACATGTAACCATCCCAACTAGACTGTGTTGTTTCTCTGGGTCATAAAATGTATAGATTTAAAAAAGAAAAATTCATAGAATCCTAGGGTTGGAAGGGACCTCAGAGGTCTTCTTCTGGTCCAAACCGCCCCCACCCCCGCCCATTCAAGGCAGGAGTCAAAAAATGTGGGAATAATGTTGGCTGGCATAGAATAGAATAGAATAGAATAGAATAGAATAGAATAGAATAGAATAGAATAGAATAGAATAGAATAGAATATAGGGTAGGTAGGGTAGGGTAGGGTAGGGTAGGGTAGGGTAGGGTAGGGTAGAATAGAATAGAGGATAGGATAGGATAGGATAGGATAGGATAGGATAGGATAGGATAGGATAGGATAGGATAGGATAGGATAGGATAAGACAGGACAGGACAGGACAGGACAGGACAGAATATAGGATAGGATAGGATAGGACAGGACAGGACAGGACAGGACAGGACAGGACAGGATAGGACAGGACAGAATATAGGATAGGATAGGATAGGTTAGAAAATAGGATAGGATAAGATAGGATAGGACAGGACAGAACAGAATATAGGATAAGATAGGATAGGATAGGATAGGATAGGATAGGACAGGATAGGATAGGATAGGACAGAATATAGGATAGGATAGGATAGGATAGGATAGGACAGAATATAGGATAGGATAGGCTAGGCTAGGCTAGGCTAGGCTAGGCTAGGCTAGGCTAGGGTAGGGTAGGACAGGACAGGACAGGACAGGACAGGACAGGACAGGACAGAATATAGGATAAGATAGGATAGGATAGGATAGGATAGGATAGGATAGGACAGGACAGGACAGGACAGGACAGAATATAGGATAGGATAGGTTAGAAAATAGGATAGGATAGGACAGGACAGAATATAGGATAGGATAGGATAGGATAGGATAGGATAGAATCTGGAAGGGACTTTGGAGGTCTTCTAGTCCAGTCCCGTGCTCAAGCAGGAGAACCTATACAATCTCAGATAAGTGGCTGTCTAGTCTCTTCTTAAAAAGCTCCAGTGATGGAGCATCCACAACTTCCGGTGGCGAGCTGTTCCACTGGTTAACGGCCCTCACTGTTAGGAAGTTTCTCCTTAATTCCAGGTTGCTCCTCTCTTTGATTAGTTTCCAACCCTTGATTTGATTTATCTTCCGTCTCGGAACGCAAGGCAAATACGAGGCAGTGTTTCCTCCTCCTCTTGTCCTCCCTCACATCATCCCTGCGAGGTAGGACAGGCCGCGACCTTCTGACAAGCGAAGTCATTGGGGAAAGCCAGATTCGCTTAACAACCGGTGTGACTCACTGAGCAATTGCGCCGATTCGTTTAACAACGGTGCCAAGAAAGGTAGTAAAACACTTATCACCTGTCTCACTTAGCAACCGAAATGTTGGTCTCCGTTGCGGTCGTAAGCCAAGGACACTCTATTGAACTGTGATTGGGGGCATTGTTACTTATTTATATGTTCGATGCGCACAGGTGCCAGCACGCCAGGCGAGTGCCAGACTCTCTAAAGTCCCCTTGGGCAGGGGGCTGGACTAGAAGACCTCCGAGGTCCCTTCCACCCCCTTTGATTCTATGAAATGCTCAGCTTTTGTTCTTTCCTTAATTCAAATTCCTGGAGTTTTTTTTTTTTTATTTGGGAGGAAATAAGGTGGAGAGCGAGTGCCCCCTGTTGGCCGAAGCGAGGCATTGCAGCACAGCTCTTCCCAAGTTGGCTGAACGCTTTGAAACCTAAACGGTTTGTACCAGGGGTGAAATGCTCCCGGTTTGGAGAACCGGTAGCAAAAATCCCTGCCCCCCCCTCAACCCCCCCCCATGCCCAGCTGAACCGCACAATCATCAGAGGCTTTTTTTTTTACTTTTAAAAGCATTTTTTCTACAACCTCTTCGGCCAAAAAGTGCTTTTAAAAGTAAAAAAAAAAAAAAAAGCCTCTGATGATCGCGCGGCTCAGCTGGGATCGTCAAAGGCTTTTAAAAGAAAAGAACCCTTTTTTTCCTTTTAAATGCCTCGGACGATCCAAGCTGAGTTGCCTGATCGGCAGAGGCTTTTAAAAAAACCTCTGCCGATCAGGCAACTCGGCTGGGATTGTCAGAGCCTTTTAAAAGCATTTTTTAACAACCTCTTCGCCGGAAAAAAAAAAATGGCCATGCCCACCCAGTCATATTACCCCCCCCACCCACCAAGCCACGCCGACAGAACCGGTCGTAACAAATTTTAGATTTCACCACTGGTTTGTACAGTTTCGGCTAAAATTGATTTTTTCCAGAGGCAAAAAAGCAAAAAAATAATAATTGTTCTTTGCAAAGGTTGCGGATTTTCAAAGAGCAACCTTGAACCCCTAACCTTGGTGAGGTCTCTTGGAAGATTACGAAATGGAAGGAAGCATGAGTTTTTCACTGAGCTGAGATTTTTTTTGTGTTTTTAACCGAAGGAAGAAATGAATTCCCAACCCCGGTGTTGGGATTTTCTCCCCGTCCGTTCATGAAATCAAAGGAAAGCCAGGAGAACTCATTGCCACTAGATGTGTTTGTTTGTTGTTTGTTTGTTTGTTTGTTTTATTAAATTTATATACCGCCCTACTCCCGAAGGACTCAGGGCGGTGAACAGGCACAGAATAAAATACATAAATATAAAAGTTAGAAACAATTTAAAACCAAATTAAATAATTTAGCCCAAGACAATTAAAAAACCCCATAATTTAAAACAAATTTAAAATTTCAATTTAAAAATTAAAAAGAAAGGGGAGAAAATTAGACGTGAAGGGAACATGAGAACTTAGCTAAGAAATTTAGCCAAAGCTGATTTGGTGTAGGTGTTGGCCTAAAAACCAGGAGCCTGTGAGTTCTAATCCCACTTTGGGCATGAAACTAGCTGGGTGACTTTGGGCCGATCATCAGGCGAGGGTGAGTTCTAGTTCCACCTTGGGCTTGAAAGCCAGCTGGGTGACTTTAGGCCAATCATTCAACAGATTCAACCTGAAAGTTGAATGGGTGACTTTAGAGTTTAGACCAGGAGATGGTGAGTTCTAGTCCACCTTGGGCATGAAAGCTAAATGGGTGACTTTGAGCCAATCACCAGGAGAGTGTGAGTTCTAGTCCGGCCTTAGGCATGGAAGCCAGCTGGGTGTCTTTGAGCCAATCACCAGGAGATTGTGAGTTCTAGTTCCATCTTAGGTATGAAACCAGCTGGGTGACTTTGGGTCGATCACCAGGAGATTGTGAACTCTAGTTCCCCCTTGGGTATGAAACCAGCTGGGTGACTTTGGGCCGATCACCAGGAGAGTGTGAGTTCTAGTTTCACCTTGGGCGTGAAAGCCAGCTGGGTGACTTTAGGCCAATAATTCAGCAGATTCAGCATGAAAGCTTGAATGGGTGACTTTAGAGTTTAGACCAGGAGATGGTGAGTTCTAGTCCCACCTTGACCATAAAAGCCAGCCAGATGACTTTGGGCCAATCACCAGGAGTGTGAGAGTTCTAGTCCTGTCTTAGACATAAAAATCAACTCTCTTGGACCAATCATTCCCTCTCAGCCCAGCCTACCTCACCGGGTTGTTCTTCTTATTGTGGGGAAAACGGAGGAGGAAGGAGCAATGGATATCTTCACCACCTTGACTTGTTTATAAAAACAATAAAGAAACGGTAAAAAAAACCCACCACCAAATAAATACAATAAATTTAGTTTTTCAAGCTGTCTCTCCTAGCCTGGACTCCTCTAAAGCGGATGGCCGCCAAGTCACCGCACGTACGACTGGCCGCGGCAGAGACACCGAACATGACAATATTCTCTTTCCCATCACTCCGTAGGAACCTTCCCCTCTCCATTGGGATATCCATGCCGATCGTCACGGTGATCTACATCATGACCAACGTGGCCTACTACACGGTCCTGAGCCAGATGGAGATCCTGTCGAGCGATGCCGTGGCTGTGGTTAGTAAGCGCATCTCGTCCCATTCGTGGAAACGGATCAGTGGAATTGTCCCTAAAGCCGTGATGGCACGCATGCCACAAGTGGCATGTTGGAGCCATATCGGTCGGCCTGCGAGCATTGCCCTAGCTCAGCTCTGGCGCGCATGTATGTGCCGGCCAGCTGATTTTGGGGACTTCCAGGCCCACCGGAATTCGGCAAAGAGGCTGTTTCTGGCCTCTGGAGAGCCTCCGAGGGGGTGGGGAAGGCCGTTTTCGCCCTCCCCAGGCTCCTAGAAAGGCTCCGGAGCCTGGAGAGAGTGAAAAACAGGCCTTCCATTCCCACCCAGCCATCATGTGCCAAAAGCGGGGGGGGAGTGCGGGGAGGTCATGCGTGCATGCGTGGGGGGGGCATTGAATTATGGGTGTGGGCATGTGTGCGTGACCCCCCCCCACGCTCCCCACGCTTTTGGCACGCGACGGCAAAAAGGTTAGCCATCACTGCCCTAAAGCATGGTTGTTCAACCTTGGCCACTTTAAGACTTGTGGACTTCAAGTCCCAGAATTCTCCAGCCAGCTGGGAATTCTGGGAATTGAAGTCCACAGGTTTTACAATGGCCAAGGTTGGACAACACCTGCTTTAAACAGTCATTTTAGGGGATCGCATACTGTACGATGAGTGGTGCGATGGCCTAGAGGCAGAGCTCTCGCCTCACAATCAGGAGGCTGGGAGTTCGATCCTAAGTAGAGGCAGATATTTCTCTCTCTGGACACAAAGAGAATATATCTGCTGCGAACTCCGCATTGGCAACAGGAAGGGCATCCGGCCAGTAAACAGTCAGCTCCATTCAATTGTTCCGACTCCACCCCGATGCAAGGGATTACGGGGTCATTAAAAGAGAGAGAGAGAGAAAAAAATCACATATTGTACGATGCCATTAAATGACGCGCTTAGTCTTGTCATAGAGTTTGGCTGGCTGGGGAATTCTGGGAGTTGAAGTCCACGGGTCTTTAAGTGGCCGAGGTTGGAGAGATTTGCTTTAAGCAGTCATTTAACTTAGGGGATCACAGATTGTGCAATGCCATTAAATGATGTGCTTGGAGTGGTGCGGTGGCCTAGAGGTGGAGCCTCTCGCCTCACAATCAGGAGGCTGTGAGTTCGATCCTAGGAAGAGGCGAATATTTCTCTCTCTGAGCACAATGAGAATATATATCTGCTGAACAAAACTCCACATTGGCAACAGGAAAGGCATCCGGCCATTAAAACACTCTTGCTAGCTCCATTCAGTTGCCCAGACTCCACCCCGCAAGGGATTATGGGGCCGTTAAATGACGATGATGACTAAATGACTTGCTTAGTCTTGGCATAGAGCATGGCTGGCTGGGGAATTCTGGGAGTTGAAGTCCACAGATCTTAAAAGGGCCAAGGTTGCCTTAAATTATTTTTTTTTCTCCGTAAAATGACTGAATTCCAAGGAATCGGAGGGGGAAGAACCCTTCTTAAAAACCCTTCAATCCAGGTATTCTGGCGATAAATTCATTATGCCCCCCCAAAACATTTTGATAACGTCTCTGCAATAACAGTGACAGGAAATGGTGAAATGTTCCAACAGTGCTGAGCTAGAATGCTGTGGTTTATGGGAACTGGAGTCTGATAATAGAGGTGGGAAATCCTCACTTCCTACCGGATCATATCTCAACGTACACCAGGTAGTCCTCGACTTAATGGCCATTCCTTTAGTGACTGTTCAAATCGACAACAGCACTGGAAAAAAAGGGACCTGTGACAGGGGCTCACACTTACGACTGTTGCACCATTCCCGCAGCTGATCAAAATTTAGGAGACTGGCATGTATTTATGATGACTGCAGCATCCTGGTTCCTGATTGCAGTTATGTGTAAATCGAGGACTACCTTTATATGAATGAATGAATTAAGCGGCAGCTCCCCAGGTGGCTCAGTGGCTAAGATGCTGAGCTTGTCAATCAGAAAGGTCTGCGGTTCAAATCCCTAGTGTAGGTTTCCTGTGTGAGCAGGGGTTGGACTAGATGACCTCCAAGGTCCCTTCCAACTCTGTTCCTGTTACTGAATGGCATCGTGTTTCAGTTTCCCCAAATTGTTGACGGCAGACATCCCCCAATGGTCCCTCTAGGCCAGGGCTACTTTATGACTTCATGGGGACTTCAACTCCCCATTAAGTCAACTCAGCCTGGTGGCGCAGCAGACTAAAGCACTGTTAGTAACATCAAGCTGTCTGTCTGTCTCCAGACCACCCCAACGATGCCCATGAAGTGATGTCCCGGTGCCTGGAGGCCGTGCGGATCTGGATGGGGAGAAACAGGCTCAGGCTCAGGCTCAACCCATCCAAGACCGAGTGGCTGTGGTTTCCGACGTCCCGATATAGTCAGTTGACGCCATCACTGACTATTGGGGGAGAATCGCTGGCCCCCACGGAGCGGGCTCGCAACTTGGGCGTCCTCCTGGATTCACGGCTGTCTTTAGAAGAGCACTTGACGGCCGTGACCGGGAGGATTTTTCATCAGGTTCGCCTGATCCGCCAGTTGCGTCCCTTTCTGGATCGGGACTCGTTACGCACAGTCACTCATGCCCTCGTCACCTCCCGCCTGGACTATTGTAATGCTCTCTACATGGGGCTCCCCTTGAGGAACACTCGAAGGCTCCAACTGGCGCAGAGTGCGGCTGCGCGGGTGGTAATGGGAGCGACGTGGCGTTCCCATGTAACACCCCTCCTGCGCGAGCTGCACTGGCTCCCGGTGGTCTTCCGGGTGCGCTTCAAGGTTTTGGTTACCACCTTTAAAGCGCTCCATGGCTCAGGACCTGGGTACTTGCGGGACCGCCTACTACCACCAATAGCCTCCCACCGGCCGCTATGCTCTCATAGAGAGGGGCTCCTCCGGGTGCCATCGGCCAAACAATGCCGACTGGCGGCCCCCAGGGGGAGAGCCTTCTCTGTGGGGGCACCTACTATCTGGAACGAGCTCCCCCCGGAGATACGGAGGATCCCAGATCTGCGCACCTTCCGCCGCGCCTTAAAGACCTTTTTATTTCACCAGGCGGGCCTGGCCTAATTTTCTCCCTCTTTTATAAAAGATTTTTAAATTTTTAATATTTTTTAGTATTTTATATATTCAAATTTTAAAATTGGTTTTAAATTGATTGGGGTTTTAATTTGGGCCAAAACTATTTAATTTGATTTTAATTCCACTTTTAAATTTTGTATGTATGTATTTTATTGTTTGGCTGTGCACTGCCCTGAGTCCTTCGGGAGTAGGGCGGTATAGAAATCAAATCAAATAAATAAATAAATAAATAAATTACTGTAAGTTCAAATCTAACCAGGCTCAAGGTTGACTCAGCCTTCCATCCTTTCTAAGGTAGGTAAATTGAGGACCCAGTTTGTGGGGGCAATAAGTTGACTTTGTATAAATATACAAAAGTATGAAGGCTATTGCTTAACGCATTGTAAGCCTCCCTGAGGCTACGGAGAAGGGAGGCATATAAATCAAATTAAAAAAAAAAAAAAAACCTCTCAGAATTCCTGAACCAGCCAAGGAATTCTGGGAGTTGAAGTCCACAGATCGTAAAGCGGCCATAATCGTCTGCTCCTGCTCTGGCATGAGGTCAGGGCCACCAGTTTATAGAAGAAATCTCCTTTTTTTCCCCCCGCTAGACTTTTGGCGATCAAGTTTTTGGAGTGATGAGTTGGACCATCCCCCTTGCTGTGGCCCTGTCCTGCTTTGGAGGCCTTAATGCTTCCATTCTCGCTGCTTCCAGGTAAACCACTACTGAGCCGCGCGGCTTGTTCGAAACCGGGCCGCGGGAGAAATGGACACGTGTGAAGCTTTGTGTGAGCGGAGGGCAGGCATGTGTTGGAAGGAAAATCCAGCTCCCGTTCCAAGCCGGGAGAAAGCCACCGGAGACAAAACGGAGGCTGGAGGCTGATTGGAAAGAAAAGTTCTCTTTATTGACGAAGCAGAACCACGTGTGATTCTGGGTCAGCTGAACTCAAATGGAGTTGCGAGCGGTTGGGTTTTTATACTTCCTGTTGGAAGAAATGCCCATCTGGGTTCAGATCCAAGTGGGGAGAAAGACACTGGCTGTCAGACTCCCAGGGGGTGGGGGGTGTTAGCTAACTTCGTAGGCCTGTGATGGCGAACCTATGGCACGCGTGCCGGAGGTGCCACGCAGAGCCGCCTCTGTGGGCACACGCGCCATTCTTCCAGGTTCCGTCATGCGCATGCACGCCGGACAGCTGCTCTCTTCCAGGTTCTCGTGCTCCGGCATGCATGCTCCAGTTTTGGCACTCGGTGCTGAAACGGTTAGTCATCATTGTTGTAGGTTGTCTGTGTCCCAGGCTTGGTTGAATCTTGCTGGGTGATGCAATGAAGGCTGAATGGTTTTGCCCTGAAGGATAATCCCATCATCCTGGAGCTGAGGTCTTCTGTTTTGTAGATAGACTGGCACCAAAATATCTGCTGGGGGCAGGGCGCTGGGGTCTTTTCTTCCTGTTTCCTTTAAGGTTTTTAATTTCTCTTTTAGGGGAAATATTTTGCCTTTTTAATACCCTGTTTCCCCCAAAATAAGACATCCCCTGATAATAAGCCCAATCGGGCTTTTGAGCGCATGGCAATAAGGCCAAGCGCTTATTTCAGGGTTAAAAAAAAAATAAAAAAAATAAGACAGGGTCTTATTTTCAGGGAAACACGGTATTTCCTAGAATATTTCGTTCTTCTAGGAGAGGGGTGGGTGCTACCTTTCTACACTTCCTTGGGCTTTGCGTTTGAGCTACCTGTTCCTGTGCAAGAGCATGTCCTTTAATATTCTGTTGGCTGTTGTCAGATTCCTATGGGGATCACGGAGGGGTCATAGCTGGCTCTATAGGCAAAAGAGGAAATGCAAATCCTAGGTCAGTGATGACTAATCTTTTTGCCGTCGCGTGCCAAAAGCCGGGGGGGAGCGTGGGGGGGGGGTCGCACACACGTGGCCACACCCATAATTCAATGTGCCTCGCCCCCACCACGCATGCGCACGTGACCCCCCCCGTGCTCTTCCCGCTTTTGGCATGTGATGGCCCGGTAGGCCCATTGTTTTGCCCTCCCCAGTCTCCAGAGGTTTTCTTGGAGCCTGGGGAGGGTGAAAATCGCCTTCCCCATCCCCCTGGAGGGCCCTCCGGAAGCCAGAATGGCCCATTTCCCGACTTCCAGTGCGACCGGAAGTTCTATTTTTTGCCCTCCCCAGGCTCCAGAGGCTTTCTAGGAGCCTGGGGAGGGTGAAAATGGCCTTCTCCACTCCCTGGAGGCTGGAAGCAGCCTGTTTCCCAACTTCTGGTGGTCCCGGAAGGCTGGAAAATTAGCTGGCTGGTGCACGCATGTGTGCTGGAGCTGAGCTAGGGTAATCCTCGCGTGCCCACCAATATGGCTCCACTTGCCACTTGTGGCACGCGTGCCATAGGTTCGCCATCACGATCCTAGGTGTTTGTCTGAGCTAATCTGGTCAACCTCTGGTTTATTGTTTATCTGAGCTCCCAGGTTCCTTTGACTTAGAAGTTTGGGTTGGTCTGGGGGTCGGTGCAGTGAAGAGGCTTGTTTTTCTGAAAGGGTGTTAGGCAATTCCTATTATTGACTAATGGCTTTCTTCCTGCGTTGGATCTTGGGTGAGGGGCTGCTTTCTGATCCTACCGTTCTGCCAAGGAGTGTCGAAGTACCCCGAAATCGAATGGATTTCTGTCTGCAGTATTTGCTTGGCTTATGAATAGAGCTATCTAGACCCTTGCCTTCCTCTTTTCGACCCACTCTTGATCTTCTTCAGTGCTGGCTTATGGCATGGTGATGCTGTCAACCCTGAAGCCTTCCGAATTGGCCTTGAGGATCAGCAAGGCAACTTAAGACCCTCATTCATTCTTTCTCGACAGATTGTTTTTCGTTGGCTCCCGGGAAGGACACCTGCCCGATGCCATCTGCATGATCCACGTGGAACGGTTCACCCCTGTGCCAGCCCTGCTTTTTAATGTGAGTCCTAGGGTACCCGGTGAGAGTGTGTCCGGACGGATCCAGTTGGCTTGGTGGAGAGAAAGGAATCAGCCTTAACGGATTAAAAGAGTTGGAAGGAAACATTGTAGATCATTTAGTCCAATCTCCCGCCCAAGTCTTAAATCTCCTCTGTGCCTTTTCCTAGTTATCTTGAGTGATTTGCCCAGTGGAAGAAGCAATTATGTTCCCTAACCGTTGAACGGTACATGTGACAAGGCATTCGACAAAGTAGACCACAACCTACTTCTTGGTAAGCTAGAAAAAAAGTGGGATAGATAGCATCACCATCAGATGGATTTGTAACAAAATGCTTTAAAAAAGTAAAAAAAAAAAAAAGTTGGCCACACCCACCCAGTCACATTACCCCACCTCCTACCAAGTCACGCCCAAAGAACCGGTAGTAACAAATTTTACATTTCACCACTGGTCTAGGGTCTCCTGCTTGAGCTAGAAATCCTCCAAGCTCCCTTCCAGCTCTATTCTGATTGATCGATCACGTAGAAAGTACAAGACGCGTCTCCAAAATAAAACCAATCGGAGGCGCTACAGTTCATGACACCAATTCTGTCCCAAGACACCGCGGGGAGTTCCACGATGGATGACTAGAATCGCATTAGAGAATGACTCAAGACGTTTGATATCGATCTCCCATCCTGGTGCTGAAGTTGTGGTTTCTCACAAAGCCGCCGGCTAACTGTTCACACCTACTCTTCCCTTTGATGTAGGAATTGGCTGACTAGTTGAAGTTTCTTCTAACCAAGGCAACGTTAGACATCTGGAGACCTCAAGCTTAGCCCATCACTTTTAATCGTTTGAATCTCCTGAATCCACTCTGACGATCTCACCCTGCAAACCCACTGCAGAGCTGTTTAGGAATCTGAGGGGAAGCAGGAGTGCCCTAGGAAGAGAAATGAACCATCAAGTGGGGAGTTCCATGGGTTGAAAAGAAGAATACAGAATTACAGAAGGGACCTCGGAGGTCTTCCAGTCCAACCCCCTGCTCAAGCAGGACAAAATTTGGACTTTGAGGAGCACCATGGCCTTGGAGTTTTGATTGCGTTGGGTCTGTTACTTGGAACCTGTTGTGACCTAGGCCCAAGTAGTTATTACCAGACCCAATCAGTCCTAAACAAACATATTTTATTAGAACAGCTGAGAATTACTTCATTCTCAGCTTAGTCCAAATTAATTCCAAAACAAATCCTTCATAAACAGTCCTTCGGCCTTATCACCAACCTTTGTCTTCTTTGGCACCCTGCCAAAGTCGTTTCTTGGCAAAACCCCACGAAGTTCAGAAACAAGAGACGCCAACATGAAACAAATGTAGCAACTTTGCTTTCCTACAAAGAGCCCTAGAGCCGTTGCTGCTCTTTTATTGGAGGGGCCGATCATCTCCTGGTCTTACTCCTAAGTCATCCTTTTTGCTTAATTTTTTTATTTTTTTATTTGATTTATATGCCCTCCTTCTCCGGAGACTCAGGGCGGCTTACAATGCGTTAAGCAATAGCCTTCATCCTTTTGTATATTTATACAAAGTCAGCTTATTGCCCCCACAAACTGGGTCCTCATTTTACCTACCTTAGAAAGGATGGAAGGCTGAGTCAATCTTGAGCCTGGTGAGATTCGAACTTACAGTAATTGCAGACAGCTGGTGTTAATCACAATGCTTTTAGTCTGCTGAGCCACCAGGCCCTTTAGCTGCTCTTGCCTTCTGGCAGCTCTTCGCATGCGTGCACTAGGAACAGGCTCCTCCTGTTCCTCTGCCTCTCTGCTATCTGTCTCTGGAGGGTCCGGGGTCCGCGCATCACTCCCAGATGGCCTTGGCCCCATCTCTGCCTCGTCCTGGCCTTTCCCTGACTCCAGGACTGGCCCATTGTCCTCCCCAGCCTCCTCACTGTCCGACTCCACTGCCAGCTCCGCAGGCTGCTGGCGGACCACAACAGAACCCTGACAGATGCTGTCTGTCCCACTTTTTTCTAGCTTACCAAGAAGTAGGTTGTGGTCTACCTTGTCGAATGCCTTACTGAAGTCTAAGTATACTATGTTCACAGCATTTCGCTGGTCTACTAATTTAGTCACTATGTTGAAGCCTGAAATAAGATTGGTTTGGCACAATCTGTTTTTAACAAACCCGTTGCTGACGTCTAGTTATTACTTGACTTGTTTGTAGATGTTTTATTGGAAAAACCAAGATTATATTCTGCTAATCCTGTTGAATTTGGCTTTCCTTCTGGTGTCTGTCCTTTGCAGGGAGCCATGGCTCTAATTTATCTTTGCGTGGAAGACATCTTTCAACTCATCAACTACTACAGCTTCAGCTACTGGTTCTTTGTGGGCCTGTCCATCGCAGGACAACTGTATCTTCGCTGGAAGGAACCATCTAGGGAACGTCCACTCAAGGTAGAGGGTTGTTAGCCGTGTAATATATAAAACCTCCATTGTCACAGAACACTGTTACAGTGGCAATGCTAACTATACAGGTCGTCCTTGACTTATAACCCCAATGGAGGCCAAAATTTCCATTACCAATCAAAGTGAATTTCCCCCCATTTTATGACTTTTTTTTTGCCACGGTTGCTAAGCGAGTTGCTGCATTTGCGAAGCGAATCACACAATCATTAGGCGAATCCATCTTCCCCCCCATTGTCGGAAGCTGGCTGGGAAGGTTACCAATGGCGATCACCTGACCCCGGCTGCAACCGTCGTAAATACGAGTCACTGGGCCACGGCGAGTTGACCATGGCAAGCTGGTTGTGTTGAGTTGGCCACGTGAATTAGTCATGGCGAGTTGACCCTGGCAAGTTGGTTGTGCTGAGTTGGCCACGGCGAGTTGGCCACAGTGAGTTAACTGTGGCAAGTTGGTTGTGCTGAGTTGGCCATGGCGAATTGGCCACGGCGAGTTGACTGTGGCAAGTTGGTTGTGCTGAGTTGGCCATGGCGAATTGGCCACGGTGAGTTGACTGTGGCAAGTTGGTTTTTGCCGAGTTGGCCGCAGTGAGTTGACCATGACAAGCTGGTTGTGCTGAATTGGCCACGGCAAGTTGACTGTGACCAGTTGGGCATGGCTAATTATCCCATTCCGAAAGTAGACGAAGAGCTAATTTCTTGACAATGAGAACAATTCATCGGTGGCACATCTTCCCCACAGAGGTTCTTGGTGCTCTATCACTGCAGTGAGCCTGAAATTTGGTACGAGAGTGTGATGGGTGGTGTTATGTAAATTCTGCGGCAACCGGAGACTTCAACCAATTCTCACTTCTCTTTCCTTTAGTTGACCATCGTTTTCCCCATCATCTTCTGCCTCTGCACCATCTTCCTGGTGGCTGTACCGCTCTACACCGACCCCATCAATTCGGCCATCGGCATTGCCATCGCGGCATCTGGACTTCCGGTTTACTTCCTGGTGGTACGAGTCCCAGACCAGAAGAGACCAAACTGCTTACGACGAGTGACGGGTGAGTGAATCGGAGTTTCTACTACAGGGATTTCTAATGTCTCCATTTCAATGGTAAAACCCCCAAAAGACCCACAAGGAGAAGAAGCTGCAAAAATTCTCTGGGACCGGTCATTAAAAATGCTTAAAAAGTAAAAAAAAAAAAGGTCCGACGATCAGCTGAGCGATCGTCGGAACTTTTTTTTTTTTTTTAACTTTTTAAGCATTTTTTTTACTACCAATTCTCTGGAACCGGTCATTAAAAATGCTTTAAAAAGTAAAAAAAAAAAAGAGTTCCGACAATCACACATTGCTCAGGTGATCTTCGGAACTTTTTTTTTTACTTTTTTTAACTACCGGTTCGGTGAACCAGTAGCATTATTTATTACCGGTTCGGGCGAACCAGACCGAACTGGTGGCATTTTCACCCATGTATTGCTATCACACGGCCACCATAAATGATCTTTACTGTCAGACTTCGATGCTATCTCAAAATAAATGAATTTCCAAACTGCCAATCTTTAAGGGAATCTTTTCTTTAATTGAGCACAGCCACCGGATCATGACTCGATGCGGACAAGACTGACCTTTTGCCCCCCAATCCTTCCCTTTCCGATCCCCAAATCTCTGCTTCTCATTGGCTATCTTCCAAGTCATTCTTCAGACTTCTTTTCCCCGTCATTTCCCAGGAATGTCTCCCCCCCTCATTTCCACGACAACCCGACTTCAAAGGGATTTAGCAGGCAAAAGTTCAGAGCTTATCTCTCTCTCCTCTGCTCTCTATGCCAGCGTTGCAGCGCTGACATTTACATTTCCAACTCTGTATCTTTTTCTTAACTGAATTATTCTTCACCACCTTTCCTGCCCGAATGCTGACCGATCTTCTTTTTCTTCCCAGCCCGTGTGACCCGGATTATCCAGTTAGTGTCTCTGTCTGTCCTGACGGAGATGGATCCTGAAATCAAATCTCAGTGATGCAAGAGGTGACCATCCGAAAGAGAGGCCGGCTTCTCCCGTCAATCCCTTCCCGTGGACTCTTTCTAATTTATTATTTGAGACTTTGTTGAGAGTACTATACTTACGACAGGGATATATATATATATATATATATATGCTCAGCGCTCCACATTAAATTTCTTTTAATTATTTAAAAAATGGTCTTTGGGATGCAACGTCTCTGTCATTTTTTGTCACAATTCTCCCAATATAGTTTTGGCTCCCTTTTTTGCCATTTTATTTTTTTTAAACCATCTATTTTCCAGATGTTCAGATCAGGGGTGAAATCCAGCAGGTTCTGGAAAACTGGTAGCGGAAATTTTGAGCAGTTTGGAGAACCGATAGCGGAAATCTTGAGTAGTTGGGAGAACTGGCAAATACCACCTCTGGGTGGCCCCCGAGTGGGGTGGGAATGGAGATTTTGCAATATCCTTCCCCCAGGAGTGGGGAGGGAATGGGGATTTTGCAGCATCCTTCCCCTGCCATGCCCTCCAAGCCACGCCACGCCCACCAAGCCACACCCACAGAACCAGTAGTAAAAAAATTTGGATTTCACCACTGGTTCAGATCCTGACGTTCACGGGAAGCTACGATGCAAAACATCTGGAGGACCCTAAGCGATTGTAGACTACTCCTATTAAACCTCTTTTTTCCCCTCATTTCTCTCGCCGTATATTCACCCGCACGCTCCGGGTTTTTTTCTTCCTTCCTGAATGTACAAGAAGTCCTCGAAATTACGACAGTTCCTGTAGTGACCATTGGAAGTTACAAGAGCACTGAAAAATGTGATTTAGGACCTTTTCTCCACACTTACGACCGTTGCGGCATCCCCGTGGTCACGGGATCAAAATTCAGAGGCTTGGCATCCGACTCGTTTTATGACCGTCGCCGTATCCTGGGGTCATGGGACCTTCTGACAGGCAAAGTCAATGGATTCACTTCACAACCGTGTTACTCACTTAACAACTGCCGTGACTCACTGGGCGACTGTGGCAAGAGATGTCCGTAAAACGGGGCCAAAACTCACTTGACAAAACGTCTCCCTTTACAACAGAAATGTCAGGCTCCCTTGCGGTCGTAAACCGAGGACTACGGGAGATTGTAAGGCAGTGTTTTTAAAAATGAAAAATTAAGTGTTGTTAAACATGGAAAATGTCTGGGGTTGAAGTCCTGAGTCCAAAGTACCCACAAGTAAGCTCTGATCACATCTAGAACGGGTTCTGAACCATTGCGAAGTTTCTACCCGGTGTGGAGGAAGAAAGCTCCGAGCATGAGGAAGAGGAGTCAGCCAGGCCTCCCTCTCCAGGCCCCTCCCCTCTGGCATTGTCTCAGGTGCCGGCCGAGGGAGAGGAGATTAGCAGGGAGACAGGTGGCTCGGATCAGAGTGACGAAGAAACATCATTCCTGGACGCACGCCTCCGAAGGCGTGATAAACGATTGCAGCAGCTTAGGAGGCGTGCTAGGGATTAGAACTGAGTCACTGGACCACACCCCAGAGACTATATAATAGAGGGTAGTGGTCAGTGATCCTTGTGACGAACAAAAGTAAACCTTGGATAGTCACTAAAGCCTCGTCCGGAACTGCGGAGAGAAATATTATTTCTGCTTGGACTTTTTGCACGTTAGGTACCTTATCTTTCTGTTTGTGAAAATAAAGGCATTTGGCAGACGGTGTGTCTATCGCTGCCAAGTGGGAGATAAGACCTGGGTGCGTTCCAAAGTGTTTCCTTAACCCTCGGCTGGCTGTTTTTGTGTGTGTGTGGGTACGGGGACAGATCACGGTGCAAGAGACTAGCAATTAAAACTGGGTGTAGTAACTATAAAGGAGAGTATTTGTAGCTCAGGGTTGACCCGAGTGAGGGGGTCCTTGGTGCTCCCTGTTTTCTTGCAGACGTTTCATGACCCAAAGTAGGTAACATCATCAGCCCTATCGTAGTAAGGACTAGTTGGGTAAAGGAACAGCTGCAAAACAAATAAACAACAACAACAACAAAACAAGCTCAGAAAGCACCAAGGACCCCACAGTTCTCCTCTTTCTTCTCCCCTTTCTCCTTCTTCTCTTCCACTCCACATACCTCCCTCCCTTCTAGCATTGATGATGTTATCTAGTTAGGTCAAGAAACGTCTGCAAGAAAACAAGCAAGCTCATAGGGCACCAAGGACTCCATGCAGTGGAGGGTTGTTACCGGTTTGCCCCGGTTCAGGCAAACTGGTAGCGGCGGTGAGAAGCTCCGCCCACCTGCCTTGACGTCATCAAATTATGCTCTGCGCGAGCGTGAACCAGTAGCAAAGGTAAGTGAAACCTACCACTAACTCCATAGTCCTCCTCCTCCTCCCATCCACATACCTCCCTCCATTCTAGCACCAAGGACCCCACGGTCTTCCTTCCTTCCCCCCTTCTTCTCTTCCACTCCACAAACCCCACTCCCTTCTAGCACTGATGGCATTACCTAGTTCCGTGATGGCGAACCTATGGCATGCGTGCCACAGGTGGCACGCGGAGCCATATTAGTGGGCACGCCAGCTCAGCTTTGGGGCGCATGTGCGCGCCGGCCAGCTGATTTTCGGGCCTTCTGGGCCCACCAGAAGTAGGGAAACAGGCTGTTTCCTGCCTCTGGAGGGCCTGGGGGGGGTGGGGAAGGTCCGTTTTTTTTTCTTACCTGGCTCCAGATCCTCTCTGTATCTGGGAACGGCGAAAACAGCCTTTCCCACTCCCTTGGAGGCCCTACGGAGGCTCAAAGGGCCCATTTCCCCACTCCCGGTGGGACAGGAAGTGACGTTTTTTCCTGTCCCCAGCCTCCAGAGACTCCTAGAGAGGCTCCTAGAGTCTCTCTCTTAGAGAGGTTCTGGAGGCTGGGGACAGCAAAAAATGTCACTTCCTGTCCCACTGGGAGTTGGGAAATGGGCTTTTTCAGCCTCCGTAGGGCCTCCAAGGGAGTGGGAAAGGCTGTTTTCGCCGTTCCCAGATACACAGAGAGGATCTGAACCAGGTAAGAAAGAAAAACGGGCCTACCAATCCATCATGTGCCAGCAGCGGGGGGAGGGGGGGAGGGGGTTGCGCACACATGCGCGTGGGCACATGCGCGCGCGACCCTCCCCGCCCCCCCCTCCTGGCACGTGGTTAGCCATCACTGACCTAGTTGGAGTAATTAAATGCACCATGCTAGAAAGGGGGACACTGTGAGACCCACTTCTACATTTTGGTCCAAAGCAGGGGCCTGCAACCTTAAACACTCAAAGAGCCATTTGGATCCGTTTCCCACAGAAAAGAAAACACCAGGAGCCACAAAACCCTTCCCATGCCTGACTATTTCTTGAGCGGCCACAAAACTAGCGTATGTAGTTGAATTAAACGTTGTTTTCTTCTGAAACTTTTCTTTTCTTGGATTTATCCATGGTTGGCCTACCGGGGGTTGAAAAGCTCAATAAATTGCATGCCGGTGGGTGTCGCGCATATTTTGAGTGACAGGGAGCTACAGCAGAGCAGTGAAAGAGCCACATGCGGCTCCAGAGCCACAGGTTGCTGACCCCTGGCCCAAAGCAAGCTAGGCCACGGGTTGGCTTAAAATTTTTTAGCAAGGGGTTCTCTGCCCAGTTGCTGGGTGGACGTGGCCTAGTCAGCCTCCTGTACCATGGTGGTGGTGGTGGGGGGAGTTTTGTTCTCCCCGGGCTCTGGAGGCCTTTCTTGAGCCTCCGGGAGGGCGAAAACGTCCTCCCCAGGCTCCAGAGGCCCTCCGTCCTTTTTGAATTTCTGGTAGGCCCATTTTTTGCCCTCCCCGAGTCGCGCGCACGCCCTGCACTTATCTCCATCTAAAACAGGCCATGTGGGGACTCCTGGGAGAGCAGTGGGCGGGACCAGCCAGGAGTGGGATTTGGGGGCTCTCTGAACTGCACAGAATCTTAGCTAGAGGTTCTCCTGAACCCCTGCGAACCTCCGGCAGCCCACCCCTGGCTTATGTGATTTCGAACCAGCATTCTGTTATGACTCAGGTCGCCTAAGCAGCGGCAGGCTTCAATAAGAGTCCTTTTATTGGTTTGTTGAACTCCACAACAAATAGCCTTACAACTGCCGGGAAGGCCCTTCCCCAAATTTCCCTGTAGGCCGCCAGTCACAGTCCCAGAAACAAAAGCCACTACAGTACAGGTCATCCTTGACTTACGACCGCAATTGAGCCCGAAAGTCATGTTGCTGAGTGAAACGTTTTGTCAAGTGAGTTTTGCTCCGTTTCATTACGATTTTCCTTGCCGCTGTTGTTAAGTGGATCACTTCAGGTATTCATTTAGTAAGAGGAGAATCCGTTAAGGGGAATCCGGCTTTCCCCGTTGACTTTGCTGGTCGCAAAAGGGGAATCACGTGACAACCCCCTCCCTCCGGGATATTGGAACCGTCATAAATGTGAATTGGTCGCCAAGCGTCTGAATTTTGATCCTGTAACCGTGCGGGATGGTTGTAAGTGTGAACAACGGTCATAAGTCCCTCTTTTCCAGTGCCGTAGAAACTTTGGATGGTCACTCAACGGACAACGGTCGTAAGTCGACTCCCTGTACAAGGCAGGGAAAGGAACTGGCACGCTGGGTTGGAGAAAGGACGCTTGTATCCCGAGTCATTTCAAACGGTCAGCGAACGCATGGTGGTAAGTCGAGGTATTTCCTCCAGATTCTTAGCTTGCAACAACAGGCAGGAGCAAAACCAAAGAGAGCATCCTTTATTGGGGATGAACAGAAAGACGGGACAAAGGAACAAGAGGGGAACTGGAGTAGTAGTGTCCTGTGGCCTTCAGATTAACGTATCTTCCCAGGGTCTTTCTTTCGGCGGCGGCTTGCTAGCCTCGAGCTGCACATCCTTCAAAGGGTTCTCGGCAAAAGTCTGACGCAACGGCCCTGCGAGCGAACAAAAAAAAAAAAAAAAGAATTTTCAGGATTCAATCTGGGTTGGTTACCCAGGACCAGAGGTTTCGTCTTCCGAGCTTTCGGACATGCTGGAGCCTATCCTCAGGGAAATTCTCTCTAGCAGAGTGTGAGGGCTATTCGATGTGTAGTATTTACATGGCGCCTGGGTTGTGTGTGGCTTTTTAGGTGTTGATTGGGGTTGTGATGACCCGGGGTGTGGCACAAAGGCAACACAGCTAGAGAACTGGTATGAGTCCCTTTATTGGCACCAACTTTGCCCCCAATGTCCTGTTTACTCTCCGGTCTGGAGAAAAACTCTCCCACAAACCTGCAGCAGCTTCTGGCTGCAGATACGCCAGTCCAAATGCTGTAAGCAGAATGACCGCAATCAATCACTCCAGCAGGGCAAGATAAGAAGTTCCAGAAGCGAGGATTAATTCCAACAAGACAAGATAAGCACACAGAAGCATGGCACTAATTCAAACAGTCAGGAAGAATGCCAGGAATGCAGGCCCCAACTCTCAACACTAGATGAATTCAGTGTTTGTTCCCGACAAACGCCCCTCCCAACTGCCTCTCCTTTAAACTCCATCCCCAGGTGTGCTTTTGAAGGGAATCGGGGCCCTTTCCTTCCTTGTAAGCCATGCAACCCATGTTGCTCTCTTCTGCGTTCTTCCCTGCACGCCCTAGGATGAGGAAGGGGGTGGGCCTTGGTCTTCATCTGAACCCCTCTCCCTTGTTTTACCTCTCCCCTACTCTGCCCAGCCTCACTTTGCCCTTCCCCAGTTTCCTCCACAGCCAACGGAGCCACTCCCTGCTCTCTCTCGGCTGTTCATCTTCCATCTCAGATTCAGACACCGACGGGGGCATGACAGGGGTCTTGATGGCCAGCTATTAAGTCACTGGCTGTTAAGGGCTCCTAAGTACTTGATAATAAGGTGGAGGTAAATCAACTTTCCTGTTGACCGACAAGAGGAACGTTTTCCCAGGCTTCGGTTGTTTCCCTGGCTGTTTTTATCCCTGCTCAACCAACAATCTTAGTAGCTGCCAAATTGAATGTAGGTAAATTGAACGTTCAAAACCTCTGGTCCTGGTGAATGACCTAGATTGACACTTACAGCCTGAATGTAGAATGTGTAGCTCCGCGGCATCAGAGTGTGTTAATATAATGCAACTGGCAGTTGGAACAAAGGGGGAGGAGGAGTAGATTGTCCCAGCCTGTAGCATCCATCAGTATTCATCTGGCTAGCATCCTGTCAGTATGTGAGAGAGTTGAGGGGTGTTTGGAAACTCAAACTGTATTTGCTGTGTGAGAAAAGAGGAGACAGAAAGGAGGCTGGGTGTGGTTTAGCTCAACTGTTTTGTAGTAAAGCTGCTTGCTGCTGTGAAAGTAAAACTGAAAGTGAAACTCCTCTCATCTGCTTGTGTTTTGCATTTGGAACAGATTTCTTTTCAGGTGGGGAGGGGAAGTACAATTCCTTAGCATCAGAGCGTATTAATAATAATATAGGAAATACTAATGCTCTGATGGTCAATTTGAAAAATCCTTTCTTAGTGAGCACCTAGAAGCCACGAGGAACATACATGGCAAATTTCAAGTTTGTAGGCTTTACGGTTCTGGAGATTTTGTGATTACGGCGTGAGTGGTTTTCGCGTATGTATGTATGTATGTATGTATGTATGTATGTATGTATGTATGTTTACCTGTATATTTGACATGTATATTTGGAGTGGTGCGATGGCCTAGAAGTGGAGCTCTCACAATCAGGAGGCTGTGAGTTTGATCCTAGGTAGAGGCAGATATTTCTCTCTCTGGGCACGATGAGAATATATCTGCTGAATATAACTCCGCATTGGCAACAGGAAGTTGCCCAGACTCCACCCCTCAGGGGATTATGGAGTCATTAAAAGAGGATGATGTATATTTGCCTTCATTCGTGAAAAATAGGAATTCCTCCCGAAGGCAAGCCATCCAGCTTCCTTCTCCAACTTCAAACCTTGAAGCATTAAATACAGGTAGTCCTCGACTTATGACCACAATTGAGCCCAAAGTTTATGTCGCTAAGTGAGAAATGGGTTAACTGAGTCTTGTCCCATTTTACGACTTTTCTGGCCACACTTGTTAAGTGAATCACTGTAGTTGTTAAGTGAGTGACAGTTGTTAAGTGAATCACTGCAGTTGTTAAGTGAGTGACAGAGTTGTTAAGTGAATCTGGTTTCCCCATGGATTTTGCTTGTCAGAAGGTCGCAAAAGCAGATCACATGAACCCTGGGACACTGCAACCATCATAAATGTGAATCAACAAAGCATCCGAATGTAAATCACGTGACTGTGGGAGATGATGCAAAGGTCATAAGTGTGAAAAATGGTCCATTTTTCAGCACTGTTGTAACTTTGAACTGTCATTAAACAAACTGTTGTAACTGGAGGACTACCTGTACAGGTAGTCCTCGACTTACGACCACAACCGAGGCCAAAATTTCTGTCACTAAGTGAGACATCTGTAAAGTGCCGTTTTTACGACCTTTCTTGCCAGTGTTGTTAAGGGAATCATTACACTTGATATGTTAGTAACCTGGTTGTTAAGTGAAACCGGATTCCCCATTAACTTTGCTTAATCACATGACCCTGGGACACGGTCATAAGTCGGTCATAAGTGTGAGAAACATTTGAATTTTGATGACACGATCGTCATGGGGATGCTGCAAAGGTCGTCACTGCGAAAAACGGCCATGACTCCATGTTTCAGTGCCGTTGTAACTTTGAACGGTCACTAAACCGTCGCTAAGTCGAGGACTGCCTGTACATGTGGGTTGCCAAGCGCCCCGAATTTTGCTCACGTGACAGTAGAGATGCTGCAATGGCCCTAGGTGGAAGCCCCGGTTGGCAAGTCACTTTTCCCCCCCCTAGTGCCGTGGTTTAACTTCGCACGGTCACTAAACGACCAGTCGTAAAACCCATCCAAGTGACTTACCTGATGCTGCTAACATCAGGTGGTTTTTGATGCGGTCCTCTCGTTCTTGGAGTCGTCTTTTGGCCTGGAAGCCCTCCCACCCTAGAAAAGAGGAGGAGGAGAAGGAAGGCTGAGGTTGTACATCATCAGTGATGGGATTCAGCCGGTTCGTTAAATTGCTGGCTGGCCCTGTCCCCTCCAGTAGTCCCCACGCGCCCCGTTTTTGCTCCCAGGAAGCTTCAGGGAGGCCTCATAGGCCCAAAATGGGGCACGAGGGTTTCTGTGCTGCCTTCCCCACATGGCCCGTTTTTGCTCCCAAGTCACACCCCCTGGCCACGCCCAACGAGCCGGTCATTAGGGCAGAGAACCGGTTGTTAAATTATTTGAATCCCACCACTGTTCCATCATGCAGTGAGAATCTATGTTTTGCCTACACAGTACGTCCTTTTTTTTTGGGCCATTACTAGTTTCCAACTGCGGTGTAACATATGAAACAGTCAGTTCCCCATATTTGCCACGTGCTGAAGAAGAAAAATGGGGAAACAAAACTGCCGCCAGGGAGGACACACACACGAAAAAGACATTGCAAAGAAAACCAAGAAAATTTCAGGATCTGTCACTTTCCAGCTAGTCTTTATCTCGGACCACTGTCTTAGCCAGAAGCTTGGGAGAAACCCCCAAAATAAACCAGGAATAAACCACGGTATCAAGGGTTAGACATGAGTGGGGCGGTGGCCTAGAGGTGGAGTTCTCGGCTCACAATCAGGAGGCTGTAGTTTGATCCTAAGGTAGAGGCAGATATTTCTCTCTCTGGCCACGGTGAGAATATATCTGCCGAATATAACTCAGCACTGGCAACAGGAAGGAAATCCGGCCAGTAAACACTCAGCTCCATTCAGTTGCCCAGACTCCGTTTTGGGGGTCGAAAAAGACAATGATGACGATCAAGGGTTAGACATATTCGCCTTAACACATTAACAGAGTTGGAAGGGACCTTGTAGGTCATCTAGACCAACCCCCACAGGCAGGTGACCCTACACCATTTCTAACAAACGGCAGTCCAGTCTCTTCTTGAAAGCCTCCAGTGAAGAAGCTCCCACAACTTCTGAAGGCAACTTCTGTTCCATCGGTTGATTGCTCTCACTGTCAGAAAATATCTTATTTCCAGGTTGAATATCTCCTTGGTTGGTTTCCATCCATTATACCTTGTCTGGCCTTCAGATGCTTTGGAAAATAGCTTGACCCCCCCTCCTCTCGTAGCAGCCCCCCAAATATTGGAAGACTGCTCTCATGTCCCCCGTGGTCCTTCTCTTCACTAGACTAGCCATGCCCAGTTCCTGCAACCGTTCATCGTATATTTTAGCCTCCAGTCCCCTCATCATCTTGGTGGCTCTTCTCTGCATTCTTTCTAGAGTCTCAACATCTTTTTTAGAGTGTGGTGACCAAAACTGGATGCTGTACTCTAGGTGTGGTCTTACTAAGGCTCTGTAGAGCGGTATTAGTACCTCCCTTGATCTTGATTGTATCCCTCTGTTAATACCATTTAGGATTGCATTGACTGTTTTGGGTGCTGCCGCACACTGCTCATATTTAATTGGTTATCCACTAAGACTCCAAGATATCAGAATAGAACAGAACAGAACAGAACAGAACAGAATTACAAAGTTGGAAGGGACCTTGGAGGTCTTCTAATCCAACCCCCTTCTAAATAGCAGTTATAGCTATTAAGCCTGGTTTCACCCAAACTATATGTCTACTTTTGGCTTTTCTTGCCTAAGTGTAAGACTTGACTTTTCTCTATATTGAATTTCATTTTGTTAGAGAGGGCCCGGTTTTTGATTCGGTCGCGATCCATCTGAAATACTCCTCTCATAGTGAAAAGAAAATCAAATTAATAAAGGAAATCGTACGTTTCGGGGCGGACCTTAAAGAAGGACATAACCCAATCCCAGCCTTCCAACCTCTTTTTCTCATCTCTCTCACCCTCTTTGAAGTTGTCGATCAATCCTTTCTGCGTCTGTCCCGCCGCGGGCTTGTGAACTTCCTGTTTCGGGATGCGGAGAAAAGTGCGAACGGACGGCAAGCGTAACAGCAATACTTGTCCCAGCGAGTACAGGTTGGATGTCAACCAGTAGGTGAAGACGGCCTTCAGGAAAGGCAATAATAATAATAATAATAATAATAATAATAATAATAATAATAATAATAATAATAATAATAATAATAATAATAATAATAATAATAATAATAATAATAGAAAAGTATTGAAGGCAAAGCTGACCAGAAACTAACTTGGAACTGGTTAAGATCAGGAGAACCGAAAAAAGAAACAGAAAGCTTTATTTTGGCAGCTCAAGAACAAGCCCTAGCCACAAACTGCATGAAGGCAAAAATTCAACACGTTACCACCAACAGCAAATGCCGCCTCTGCAATGAGAAAGATGAGACAGTCGACCACCTGATCAGTGGGTGCAGCAAAATTTCACAAACTGACTACCTACAACGCCATGACCGTGTTGCTAAGATCATTCACTGGAAATTGTGCCAGAAGTTTGGATTTGAGTACAGCAAAAACCACTGGGAACATCAGGTTGAGAAAGTTTTAGAGAATGAGAAACTCAAGATCTTGTGGGACTTTAGGATTCAGACTGACAGGCACTTGGTCCACAACACACCTGACATAACAATAGTTGAAAAGAAAAAAGTATGGTTCATTGACATTGCAATACCTGGTGATGCACGGATTGAAGATAAGCAGCAAGAAAAAAATCACAAAGTACGGGACTTGCAAATTGAAGTTGAGCGACTGTGGAAAAAGAAATCGTGTGTTGTCCCGATTGTAATTGGAGCCCTCGGAGCAATACCCAAAGGGCTACCCCGCTATTTAGAAATTCTAAATTTGCCGGACTTGAACATTTTGACTCTACAAAAAACCACCTTACTCAGAACAGCTTACATCCTCCGACGATACCTTAACAGTTCCTAGGTCCTTGGTTAGGACTTTAGCTGCTGAGCTATTAACCAGCCTCAAAGGCTGTGAATCTCACTAAAGATTAAATAATAATAATATTAATATTAATATTAATATTAATATTAATATTAATATTAATAATAATAATAATAATAATAATAATTATAATAATAATAATAAATAAATAAATAAATAAAAAATACAGGGGTCCTTGACTTACAACCGGCTGCTTAGTGACCGTTCAAAGTGACCCTGGCCTGGGGAAAAGTGACTTAGGACCGTTTTTTCCACAGTTACGACGGTTGTGGCCCACTGGCGGCCAGCGGAGCACAGTGAGGAGGTTGGGGAGGAACTTGGGCCAGTCCTAGGGGCTGGGGAAAGCTCGGATGAGGGCTCTGCGTCGGAGGCAGAGAGGGAGTGAGACAGCAGCAGCGAGGCAGCAGAGGAACAGCTGGAGCCCGTTCCCAGTGTGCGCATGCGCAGAGCTTCCGGAAGACAAGAACAACTCAGAAAGCAGGGTCGACTTGGGAGTAAAGCCACACCTTGGAGGTGATTGGCCCCTCCCATAGGAAATAAAAGAGGGCTGAACAGGGAGTGGGCTTTTGCAGGAAATAATTCGTTTCCGTGACTCTGAGAGACTCTGTGCCAAGTTTTGCCTTGTACTGCCTTTGGAAACTAGTTCCGTGGCAGCTTGCCAAGCGAGATAAGGTCTGTGTTGATAAATATTCCTTTGAATAACTGTTTGGACAGGCCTTGCCGTCTGTGAATGAACGTAATTCGCAGTCGTGTAAATAAAAGAGGTTTTGCTGGGACCAAGACTCTGCTTCTTGCTTTTTAAGGGAGCCTAGTTCAGAACAACGAAATGAGGAATTCGTTCGGTAGCCGGGAGGGGTAAAGGAAGCGAAGGGTTTCACACAATACCCAGTGCAGTAGAACACAGTGCACAATATCGCAATCAAGGAACAACCAACTTAGACAAACCACCCGACAGGAAACAACCGATGATTTTACCTAGCTGGGTCACGAAAGGTCTGCAAGAAAACAACCAAGCTCAGAGGACTCCACATTCCTTCTCCACTTCCTTTTTCCTTTCTTCGTTCATCCCCCTTTCTCCTTTTCCCCTTTCTTCTCCTCTACACCACAAATGCCACTCTTTTCTAGCACTGATGTTTCCTAGTCTATATATATAAAAGCAAAATAACCAGTCACGCATCATCATGAAATCTCCACAACCGTAAAGCTTACAAACTTGAAATTTGCCATGTAGGTTCCTCTCGGCTTCTAGGTGCTCGCTAAGAAAGGATTTTTCAAAATGACCATCAGATCATTAGTATTTCTTATATTATTTATTATTAACATGTTCTGATGCTAAGGAGTTAGAGGTTCTACTCTCCCTCCCCACCTGAAAAGAACTCTGTTCCAACTGCCACTTGGGTGTGGGCATGGCCAGCCCGTGACTCATCCGGCCTGCGGGTTAGGAGTTTTAGACATTCTACATTGAAAGGGAGAGAAGAGGATAAGGTAGGAGAGGCTTCTGTGGGGCAAGCCTGAGGGAGAGAAGGGGAAAGGAGAGGCCGATCGTAACTACTCATTAATTTTCAAGCTGTAAGTGTTGATTTATCAGGCCCGATCACATAGTTTCATAGTGGAGCAAGGGTATCCAGCTAGTTGGGTCATGAAACATTCACAAGAAAATAACTAAGCTCAGAGGACTACCCGGTCCTTCTCCTCCTCCTCCTCCTCCTCTCTCCTCCTCCTCCTCCACTCCACAAACTAATTGTTCCTGATGATGTCACCGAGCTTGTTACCTAGCACTGAGGATGTTACCTAGTTGGGTGATGAAATGTCTACAAGAAAACAACCAAGCTCAGAGAGCACCACAGTCTTCCTCTTCTTCTCTGCAAATCCCACTCCCTTCTACTGGTAGCACTGATGATGTCCCCTAGCTGGGTCATGAAACGTCTGGAAGAATACAGCCCAACTCAAGAGAGCCTGAGGGACCACACAGTCCTCCTTCTTGTCTCTGCAAACCCCACATACTTCTAGCACTGATTATATTACCTACTTTGGTAATGAAACGTCTGCAAGAAGGACCCCAGAGTCTTCCTCCTCCTCCTCTTCTCTGCAAACTCCACACACTCCTAGCCCTGATGATGTTCCCTAGTTGAGTCGTGAAACGTCTGCAAAAAAACCCCACCCGTCTCATAGATCGCCAGCCAAGCATTTCCATAAAAAAAGAAAAACAAATAAAAAGGCGTCCAGAAAATATGCAGGTTTCAAATCACGCCAAGGTCGCGCGGTTTGTGGTGCCGCGAGCAATCGGTGGCATTGTGTAGCACATATTGATGAAGAGAGATGCTCCTTCTTTCTCACCGTTGGGAAATTGATCGTGATCGGCAACAGCAGGACAGGCATCACCCGGAAAGCTGTTTTCATCATGTGGTAACTCGGGTTCGAGACGCCCGTTTCTGCCCCAAACTGCAAAGGAGAGAGATGATGTCATTACATGGGCAGTTTTGATATTTGTTTTTACAGGTTTATATATATTTATAAGCATTTTTGAAAACAGGGTATGAATGCAGGATATTGATCTGTCCCCGTCCACACACACACACAAACACAGCCAGCCGAGGGTTAAGGAAACACTTTGGCACACACCCAGGTCTTTATCTCCAACTTGGCAGCGATTTACACATCGTCTGCCAAGTGCATTTATTTCCACAAAACAGAAAGATAAGATACTTAGCGTACAAAAGTTCAATCAGAATAATATTCCTCTCAGCAGCAGTTTCTGGACCAGGCTTTAGTGACTATCCAAAGTTTACTTTTGTTCGTCACAAGGATCACTGGCCACCACCCTCTATTATATAGTCTCTGGGGTGTGGTCCAGTGACTCAGTTCTAATCCCTAGCATGCCTCCTGAGCTGCTGCAATCGTTTATCACGCCTTCGGAGGCGTGCGTCCAGGAATGATGTCTCTCCCTCGCTCTCATCCGAGCCACCTGTCTCCCTGCTAATCTCCTCTCCCTCGGCTGGCACCTGAGACAGTGCCAGAGGGGAGGGGCCTGGAGAGGGAGGCCTGGCTGACTCCTCTTCCTCATGCTCGGAGCTTTCTTCCTCCGATGGGACAGGCTCAGAGGGCGGGGCCACAACAGATATGTCAGGTACACAAACAAAGACCAGAGTAATAATAAGAAAAGATATTAACACATGAACTCATAACAGTAACTAGTAACAGTGAATATAATATAATTACACTTGCCTTAGATATAATTGTAATAGTATAACCAAATAGTTTAAACTGGGTTTTCTTATATTTACATTTTGTAGATTATCATACTTATAGTTTGAAAACCATCTCTATTTTAATACAGACATTCATAGTCTTTTTCCCTCTAATCCCTACCCATTTTCTCTAGCCACTTATAAAAACTGTTCCATATCCAGTAGCATTCGGATAAAGAAGATAAAGTCTTCTTTATCTTTAATTTTAAAAGTTAACCTATCCATTTCAGCACATTCTAAAATTTTCCGAACCGCTTCTCCGTCTGGTGGAGTGTTTTCATTTTTCCAGTACTTAGCAAATATGATCCTTGCCGCTGTTAGTATATGTAAAACTAAATATGTGGTCCCTTTATCGTAGCCCTCTGGTATTATTCCCAACAGATATAATTCCGGTTTCGAATCTATATTCTGTTTAAGTTATTTCTTCCAGCCAATTATGTAATTTCTCCCAATTCTTTCTTGCTTTACTGCACGTCCACCACATGTGGTAGTATGTGCCCGAGGACTGATTGCATTTCCAGCATTTTGTAGACAAGTTATTAAACATTTTTGCCAGTCTTGCTGAGGGTTATGCCACCTTTTTTACAGGTTTATCAATCTTGGCACCTTTAAGACCTGTGGATTTCAACTCCCAAAATTCCCCAGCCTGGCTGGGGAATTCTGGGAGTTGAAGTCCACAGGTCTTAAAGTTGTCAAGCTTGTGGAAACCTGTTCTACAAATTCCCCTTTTCACATCTGTCCCCCCCAACCCCTTGAATTCTCCCTTAAGGGGATCATTCTGAAATTTAGGCTGGCCATTACAGAAAAAAAAATGGTCAATGTTTTGGTAGGTTCCTGCCGATTCGAACTCGGATCCAGGCATCGGAGAGGAGGGAGTTGTGGCAACTTTAAGGGGAGGCTTAAATCAAGGATTGCCTTGAATTCCCCCTCACTTTCTTTAAAAAAAGATTTTATTCCACCTTTATTATTTTTCTTAAACGAGGTAGTGAACATGAGTAAAATTCCTCTTTCCTACACAACAACAACTCTGTGAGGTGGGTTGAGCCGAGAGGGAGGGACTGGCCCAAAGCCTTTGAACCAGCTTCCATGACTAAGGCAGGACTAGAACTCACGGCCTCATGCTGATTGGTCCAAAGTCAAACCAGTCAACTTTCATGCCTAGGGTGAGACTAGAACTCCCCATCTCCTGGCCGATTGGGCCAAAATCACTCAGTCTATTTTCGTGCCTAAGACTGGACTAGAACTCTTAGTTGCTTGGCGATTGTCCCTAAGTCACCCAATCAGTTTTCCTGCCTAAGGTGGGACTAGAACTCCCTGTTGCCTGGCAATTGGCCCAAAGTCACCCAGTCAGTTTTCATGCCTAAGGTGGGACTAGAACTCCTTGTTGCCTGGCAATTGGCCCAAAGTCACCCAGTCAGTTTTCCTGCCTAAGGTGGGACTAGAACTCCCTATTGCCTGGTCATTGGTCCAAAGTCACCCAGTCATTTTTCCTGCCTAAGGTGGGACTAGAACTCCCTGTTCCCTGGTGATTGGCCCAAAGTCACCCAGTCAGTTTTCCTGCCTAAGGTGGGACTAGAACTCCCTATTGCCTGGCTATTGGTCCAAAGTCACTCAGTCAGTTTTCCTGCCTAAGGTGGGACTAGAACTCCCTGTTCCCTGGTGATTGGCCCAAAGTCACCCAGTCAGTTTTCCTGCCTAAGGTGGGACTAGAACTCCTTGTTGCCTGGCAATTGGCCCAAAGTCATCCAGTAATTTTTCCTGCCTCAGGCGAGACTAGAACTCCCTGTTCCCTGGTGATTGGCCCAAAGTCACCCATCCAGCGTTCATGTTTACGATAGAACTAGAATTCCCAGCACCCCGGTTTCTGGCCTAGCACCATAACCGAGTCTTACCTCCAGAACAGCCCACATGGTGGCAGTTGTTATCAGGGGTAGAGCGTAGTAAGGATCCGAGACTGTGAGATCCGTGAACCACAATAGTCCCCCTGTCTGCATGCTGGGCACAGGACACTCCGCCATTTTGCGTAGGGCGAAGAAGAAGGAGATGAAAATGGGAGTCTGAGACAGAGGAGGGAAGAAGAGGTCAAGCCCGTAAACCGTGTAGCTAATACAAATTCCAAGCAGGTTAAGGGTCAGGTGGTCACTTTGTGGAAACTGACCTGGACCAAGGGTGCGAGGAATCCTACTTTAGGATTAAGATTATGGGCTTTCTGATACTGGTTCAATTCCGTGTAAGCCTTCATAACTGGGAGATGAAAGGAGAAATAGTTTCAGGATGAGCCATATTGAGTCAAAATCCTTAATTTTATCTATCTATCTATCTATCTATCTATCTATCTATCTATCTATCTATCTATCTATCTATCTATCTATCTATCTATCTATCTATCTATCATCTATCTATCTATCATCATCTATCTATCTATCATCTATCTATCTATCTTTCTTCTTCCTTTCCTTCCTCCTTTTCTTCCTTCCTTTCTTCATCCCATTCTCCCCCTCCTTCCCCACCCTCCCTTTCTTCCTTCCTTTTCCTTCCTTTCTCTTCTCTTCCTTCTTTCTTCCCTCTTTCCTTTCTTTATCCCATTCTCCCCTCTTCCTTCCTTCTTCTTTCCTTTCCTTTTCTTCCTTCCTGCCTTTCTTCATCCCATTTTTCTCCTCCTTCCCCACCCTCCTTCCCTCCCTCTTCCTTCCTTTTTCCTTCCTTTTCTTTCTTCCCTCCTTCCTTTCTTTATCCCATTCTCCCCTCTTCCTTCCTTTTCTTTTCTTTCCTTCGTTCCTTCCTGCCTTTCTTTATCCCATTTTCCCCTCCTTCCCCTCCCTTCCTTTTTCTTCCTTCCCTCTTCCTTCCTTCCCTTTTTTCTCCCCTCCTTCCTTTCTTCAACCTATTCTTCCCTTCCTTCCCTCCCTTTTTCTTCCTTTCTTTCCTCCCTCCCTCTCCCTTCCTTCTTCCTTCCTTCCCTTTTCTTTCTCCCCTCCTTCCTTTCTTCATTCTATTCTCCCCCTTCCCTCCCTCCCTCCCTTTTTCTTCCTTCCTTTCCTCCCTCCCCTTCCTTCTTTTTCTTCCTTTTAATTTCTTCCTCCCTCCTTCTCCTTCCTTCCTTTCTTCATCCCATTGTCCCCCTCCTTCCCTCTTTCTTTCTTCCTTCCTTTTTCTTTCCTCCCAACCTCCCTCCCTTCCTTCTTTTTCTTCCTTCCTTTTCATTTCTCCCTCCCTCCTTCTCCTTCCTTCCTCCCATTCTCTCTCCCTCCCTTCATCTCATACTCCCTTTCTTTTCTTCATTCCATTCCCCCTCCCTCCCTTCCTTTTCCACTCTTCTTAACTGCCCCATCTCCTTCAGCTCTCCCTAATTCTCTTCTGCTAAGCGTTTCTGCAAAACATCCTGACCCCTTCAAAGCCTTGGCAGCCCCCTCCCCCTCCCAGCCCCTTTTGGTCTCCCCAGTTTCATCAAATCCTTCTATTCAATCCAGAACGTCTCTTGCCTCTTCGGGTTTTTTTTTTTTTTTTAACTGCCCTCTAAACTTACATTCTTTCTGATTCCCCGACTTCCTGGCGTCGCTGATTTTGGAATTCATCTCGCTCATTTGGGGGTAATGGTTGTTGAGGATCACGGCCTGTCGCTGGCATTTCACAATGATGGGGAAAACCAAACAGCGGGCCAGGAGCGTTCCTAAAAAAAAAAATTAGAGAGTTACTCCGGAGAGTTACTTCCAGGAAAATTTCAGCAAGCTGAAATTTCCCGAGAAGGATGCAATTCCTGACCGAGCTGATCAAAACTTCCCTGGTTAGTGCTTTCTTGTTTATTTATTTATTTACTTACTTACTAGCTGATAACCCGGCGTTGCCCGGGTATTTATTTATCCCAATCCTGTGTTAGAAGGAAAAGGAATGAATTATATCTATAGTGCCAAATCAATCGCCTCCTTAAGGAGTACCGTGAAGCCGTTACCATGGCAACTCCACTGTGTTGTACAGTAGAAGCCATTTTAAGGTACAACAGGCTGTATCTTAACAGAACTTGAATCCAAAATGCAGACTATCGCTGTCAAAAGTACTGTGATTTGACACTATAGATACAATTCATTCCTTTTCATTTCAGCGGCCCAGGCGTTCCAGAGTTATGCTGGAACACACACACACAGACACCCCCCCTCCCCCTGGGGTATTAGGTATGTCTTACCCCCACAGTATTTTTTCCAGAGAGTAAGTCATCTATGTACCAAGTTTGGTTGAAATTGCTCAAGGCATTCCAGAGTTATGGTGGAACATACATACATACACACACACAAACACAGAGCCATTTTTATATATATAGATCTATTATCAAACAAATGTATACAGCTGCCCAACGCACACAGAGGAGACTCAGAGAGGTTTACAAAATTGAAAAAAAAAAATTCCACTGTATAATAAAATAAATTTAACAACAACAACAACAACAACCCACTTCACTCCCATGGCAGTTAACACAATCAGATCAGCCACAAGCAAATCTGTCTCCAATTTGGGGGGCTCTGAGGCTGCTGACAAAACCGCTGTTTTTAGGGACTTTTGGGACAAGTGTCTATGGAGATTCTCAAGTCATCCACGTTGTGGTTTCCCAAAGTGTTTTTTTTTTTTTTTTGGTCAAGAAGCAACTAGACTTTCTGGTTTTTCTTTCTGAAGACATTTTACTTCTCATCCAAGAAGCTTCTTCAGCTCTGACTGGATGGTGGGGAATGGAAGGTTTTGAATTCCTTGCAGACAGCTGGTCATTTGTATCCTTTTTTAGAGAGTCGTTGACGCCGCTCACGAGGTTTATAAATACCTGAAGTATTGCAGGCCAACTCTGCTGACTGCCAACAGTTCGATTCTCACTGGCTCAAGGTTGACTCAGCTTTCCGTCCTTCCGGGGTCAGTAAAATAAGGACCCAGATTGTTGGGGCAACAGGCTGACTCTGTAAACCTCTTAGAGAGGGCTGTAAAGGGATCTATAAGTCTATGTACTATTGCTATTCTCTGGCGAACGAATCTTTTACTCATTTTTGTCTTATCAAGCTAAAAAACGTCATTTGTGTCCCAATCTGCTTAACGACCCCGGCAGTCCTCTTTACCTCCTACAATGGCTCCCCACCAAGGCAGCCCCAAGTCCAAGTGCAAAGACTCCAAGATCTTCATGATTAGACCCACTGGACTGAAGCTTCCCAGACCCAGTTCGGCCAAAGTCGATTCTTCCGCAATTTGGCTAATTTCCTCCAAAGGGAGGATTGTCTCTACCGGCGCAGTTGCTGCGGCTTGAGCAACCTGAAAGAGGCAAAAGAGGATATAGATCAGGGGTGTCCAACTCAAGGCCCGTGAGCCGGATCCGGCCTGCGATGTGGTTGGATCCACCCTGCGGGGCCGTCCTGGAAATATAAGGGGACGGGCCGCGTCGCTTCGACCCAGTCTACCCAATGCAAAGAGGAAATATTATTATTATTATTATTATTATTATTATTATTATTATTATTATTATTATTATTATTATTATTATTTAATCTTTAGTGAGATTCACAGCCTTTGAGGCTGGTTAATAGCTCAGCAGCTCGAGTCCTAACCAAGGACCTAGGAACTGTTAAGGTATCGTCGGAGGATGTCAGCTGTTCCGAGTAAGGTGGTTTTTTGTAGAGTCAAAATCTTCAAGTCCGGCAAATTTAGAATTTCTAAATAGCGGGGTAGCCCTTTGGGTATTGCTCCAAGGGCTCCAATTACAATTATTATTATTATTATTATTATTATTATTATTATTATTATTATTATTATTATTATATTATTATTAATAATAATAATAATAATAATAATAATAATAATAATAATATTTCTATGCCGCCCACTCTCCGAGGACTCTGGGCGGCTTACACCAAAGACAGTATACTAAATAGCATATTGCCCCCAACAATCTGGGTCCTCATTTTACCCACCTCGGAAGGATGGAAGGCTGAGTCAACCTTGAGCCGGTGAGATTTGATCCGCTGATCTGCTGAACTAGCAGTCGGCTGAAGTAGCTGCAGTACTGCACTCTAACCGCTGCGTCACCTCGGCTCTTTTATTGCTTCAGCAGTTTGGGGAGTGGTGTCAAACTGGCCACGCCCACCCAATCGTCCATGCCCAGGGAGTGGCATCAAGATTGCCACGCCCCACCTGTCAGCCACACCCACCCAGCCTCCTTAGGTCAGTGACGGCTAACCTTTTTCTCGTTGTGTGCCGAAAGCGTGCGTGCGTGCCGGCACCCATAATGCAATGCGGGCCCCCTGCACATGCATGCATGACCCCCCCTATGCTTCCCCCGTGCATGCGCACACAACTCCCTGCTCGTTTTGGGCTTAGTAGGCCTCCTTGCAGTCTCCTGGGCCCAAAAACAGGCTGGGGGGGGCTCACTAGGGGGCCCTAGTATGTCTCCGGGCAGCCTCCTGGGTCCAAAAACGGACTGCGGGGGGTGGGTGGGTGCGCTGCACCCCTGTGCTTTCCCCCAACCCTCCAGACATGTGTGCGTGACCCCCCGTACATGCATACACATCTGCCGCATGCGCCCCACCACCCAGCTGGCTGGCGGGAGGTGTCCACGCGTGTGTGGTTGAGCTGAGCTGGGCAACGGCTCGCATGCCTGCAGAAAGGACTCCGCGAGACAGCTGTGGCACACGTGCCATAGGTTCCAGGCCCTAGGTCTGTGAGGGCGAACCCATGGCACGCGTGCCAGAGGTGGCACACAGAGTCCTCTCTGTGGGCACTTGTGCAGTCACCAGCTGGTCTTTGCAGGTGCTGGGGTGCCTGAAAAAGGGCCCGAAAACAGGTATGTGTGTGCCGGCCAGTTGATCTTCAGGTTTCTGGCGCTCCGGCATGCACCCATGTTCCAGTTTGGGCACTCTGTGCCGAAAAGGTTTGCCATCACTGCCTTAGGTCAACCACAGTCCTGACGCGGCCCTCAATGAAATTGAGTTTGACATCCTTGATATAGACGGTTGCGGGATCCCAAACTCACACGTCTCTTTGACCTCTCATGGCTTCCAAGCTGACAGGTGCGTTACCTGCGTCCCTGCAGCCGCCGCGGTGCTCTGATGTCGGATTGCGGGTCTGAAAAGCACAACGTAACAGTTCCGAGAATGCTGCGGAGAAGCTAACCGGGCTTTGACTTGGGACCATCCCGGAGGGATGGACGTCCGGTGAACCTGGAAAGGAATAGCAAATAGACCTTAAGGACGTATAGCAGGCGGTCCTCGGGTTACGGCCACAACCGAGCCCAAAATTTACGTCTCTAAGGGAGACAGCGTGTGAAGTGAGTTCCCCTCCCCCTTTTTACGACCTTCCTTTCCACCGTTGGGTTTTTCTTTTTGTCATAACGCCTTTTATTAGTTTATCAAAATATAAAATACAAAGAGAAATTTTAAAATGTAATAGAAAATGGGGGAGGGAAAGAAAAATGTAGAAAGAGGGAAAAAGAAAGAAAAAGGCATCGATTTCCAACCCTCTTTAGCACAGCGGACGATAACGTCACAACTTCCAACTTTTACTTTTTTTATTGTATATCGTAGCCATTTCTATAGCAAGAAACCGAGTCTTTTGCTTGAGCTGGGGGTTGGATCAGAAGACCTCTCAGATCCTTTCTTAGCTCTATTCTGATTATTAGCTAGTTGGGTCATGAAATGTCTGTAGGAAAACAACCAAGTTCAGGGAGTGCCAAGCAGCCTGTTCCACTCGATCACTCCCTTCTGGCACTGATGATGTTAAGTAGTGTGGTCATGAAACGTTTACAAGGAAACAACCCAACTCAGAGAGCACCAAGGAGTTCACAGTCCTCCTCCTTCACTCTGCAAACCCCTCTCTCTTCTAGCACTGATGACGTTACCTAGTGTTCTGTCCCCCTTCCCCACACAGGCAAACACACAACCAGGCACGCCTGCCAAGATTTTATTAAGCAATCAGACTAGAAACCCTTGCAGATAAGAGTTTTGGCAGTAAACTGCGAAATGCCTGCCAAGTCAGTTTTCACTCACAGTCAGCAAGAGAGAGTTTATCCTCAGTCCGGTTCAGTAGCAAAAAGTAATCCACGAAGCAAGAGTTAGCCAAGGTCCAATCCAAATAAGCACAAGCCAGATTTCAGGTAACGCGATGTGACTCTCAGGTTTTTAACTTTGACCGTCACAAAGCCTGAAGAGCAATCACACCCACTTTTATTCCTTGTGGGGTGTGGCTCAGCTCAATCTCTGGCCCTCCCACGCCTCTTTCGTTGCTGCGCACGCTTCTCCCTCCGACGCTGCCTGGGATCAAGCCAGGATTCATCATCCTCGCTCCCTATCTGTTGTTGTTCCGATATGCTTTCCTCCTGGCATCTCCCAGGTTGTTCCTCTTGGCCTTTGGATGGAACCTGAGGCATTGCCAGAGAGGAGGGTCCTGGAGAGGGAGGCCTTATCAGTTCCTCCCCATCAACCTTCTGAGTCCTCTTCCTCTGTTAGGGCAGTCTCGGGAGTCGGGGTCACAACACCTAGTCAGAATCAGAAAAAAGAGCTGGAAAGGGCCTTGGAGGTCTTCTAGTCCAGCCCCATGCTCAAGCAGGAGATCCTATACCACTTCGAAACGCCTGCAAAGAAACAACCCAGCTCAGGAAGCACCAAGAACCCCACAATCCTCTTTCTCCTCTCCTCTGCAACCTCCACACACTTCTAGCACTGATGATGTTACCTACACTGGTAATGAAATGTCTGTAAGAAAACAGCCAAACTCAGAGAGCACCAAGGACCCCCACAGTCCTTCTCTTCCTCCCTCTCCTCTTTGCAAACGCCATTTCCGTCAAGCACTGATGATACTACCTAGTTGGGCCATGAAAAGTCGGCAAGTAAACAACCCAGCCCCAAGGTCCTCCTCTGCTCTGCAAACACCACTCTTTTCTAGCACTTTTCATGTTACCTAGTCAGAATAATCAGAGTAGAGCTGGAAGGGACCATGGAGGTCTTCTAGTCCAGCCCCCTATTCAAGTAGAAGACCTATACTATTTGGAAACATCTGCAAGAAACCAGTCAAACCTAAGACTGTCGGAGCGTAAATTAGCCCCGTTTCCCCCCTGGGGTAACTGCACCTAATTAGAGGAGGATGGATCTTGTTTTCCATGCTGTATACTTTAAAGAAAGAAAACCAAAATAGATATTCTAATAAACATTTTATTATAAAGAAATAAAACAAACTTACTAACTACATTTTTACCAGCAGCTGATATCACAGACGAACAAAAAAAAGAATAAATCAGGAAATTAGAAAAGAAAGAATGTAGACATGCGCAGTAGCTCAAAATGTTCACAAGACTAGTCTTATCTCTGTTGCTACAGAGACATGATAAAGTTCTCTGGCAGGCTACTGTAAGTCTTAGGATGGAGGCTCGGCTGACAAACACATAATGCAGTGACAAAGACAGCCCCCAAGGACCCCACCATCCTCCTCCTCCTCCTCTCTGCAAACCCCACTCCCTTCTAGCACTGATGACGTTACCTAGTCTGGTCATGAAACGTCCGCAAGGAAAACAACCAAGCTCAGGGAGCTCCTAAGGACCACAATCCCCCTCTGTGCAAACCCACTCCCTTCTATCACTGAAGATGTTACCTCGTGCGGTCATGAAACGTCTGCATGAAACTAGCCAAACTCAGAGAGCCCCAAAGATCCCGTAATCCTCCTCCTCCTCTTCTCTGCAAACCCCACTCCCTTCCAGCACTGATGATGTTACTTAGTCTGGTCATGAAACGTCTGCAAGGAAACAACCCAGCTCAGGGAGCCCACAAGGACTCCACAATCCTCCTCCTCTTCTCTGCAAATGCCATTCCCTTCTAGTACCGACGATGTTACCTAGTCTGGTCATGAAACATCCTCCTTCTCTTTGTCACATCTCTCCCTCCCTCCTCCTTTCTAGCACTGATGATGCTACCTAGTCTGGTCATGAAACATCTGCAAGGAAAACAACCCAGCTCAGGGAGCCCCTAAGGACCCCACAATCCTCCTCTTCTTCTCTGCAAATGATGATGTTACCTAGTGTGGTCGTGAAACGTCTGCATGAAACTAGCCAAACTCAGAGAGCCCCAAAAACCCCACAATCCTCCTCCTCTTCCTCACATCCCTCTTCCTTTCAAGCACTGATGATGCTACCTAGTGTGGTCATGAAACGTCTGCAAGGAAAACAACCCAGCTCAGGGAGCCCCTAAGGACCCCACAATCCTCCTCCTCTGTGCAAACTTCACTTTCTTTTAGCACTGATGATGTTACCTAGTGTGGTCATGAAACGTCTGCATGAAACTAGCCAAACTCAGAGGGCCCCAAAGACCCCACAATCCTCCTCCTCTTCTCTGCAAACCCCACTCCCTTCCAGCACTGATGATGTTACTTAGTCTGGTCATGAAACGTCTGCAAGGAAACAACCCAGCTCAGGGAGCCCACAAGGACTCCACAATCCTCCTCCTCTTCTCTACAAATGCCATTCCCTTCTAGTACTGACGATGTTACCTAGTCTGGTCATGAAACATCCTCCTTCCCTTCGTCACATCTCTCCCTCCCTCCCTCCCTCCTTTCTAGCACTGATGATGCTACCTAGTGTGGTCATGAAATGTCTGCAAGGAAAACAACCCAGCTCAGGGAGCCCCTAAGGACCCCACAATCCTCCTCCTCTGTGCAAACTTCACTTTCTTTTAGCACTGATGATGTTACCTAGTGTGGTCACGAAACGTCTGCATGAAACTAGCCAAACTCAGAGAGCCCCAAAGACCCCACAATCCTCCTCCTCTTCCTCACATCCCTCCCTCCTTTCAAGCACTGATGATGCTACCTAGTGTGGTCATGAAACGTCTGCAAGGAAAACAGCCCAGCTCAGGGAGCCCCCCTCCAAGGACCTCCTCGTTGCAAAACAGGATGAACTTCAAGCAGGCCATTTCCCTGCTTTGCAACCTTCAGGGTTCAACCTTGCAGGTAATACAAGAGCAACAAACAGGAGGGGAAACAGGCTGAGATGATCCCCTCAGCCCTAGTTTGGGCCTAAGTTCAGGCCCTGAGGGGAGGCGGAGGAGGAGGAGGAGGCCAGCGGAGCCTCTCTCGTCCTTGGGACTCCCCGTCCGACACCCGAGGAGACCGACAGTCAACTCAGTCCTGGGTCAAACCGGGCGCTTCGCCTGCAAGGACGAGCAACGCAGGCCTGAGGCGGGCCCGGTGGACTACATCTCCCATCAACGCGAGGAGCGCGTGACGTCACAGGGCCCGGGCCTACCCACCTGTGCGTGAATCCCCCCCGCCGAGATCCACGCTCGCCGCAGCGCCCCGAAAGCCGCCATGGTCTCCTTTTGGCTTGGCCGCCGGGGAAGAACCGGCTGCTTCGTGACGTCACCGGAGCGCGGAAAGGGACGCGACGCTCCTTCCGAAGCCGCCGCGGCCATCTTAGTTACGGGCAAGGCGGCTCTTTCCCTCCCTCCCATCTTCCGGGAGAGGCGATGCCCTATGTTAAAGGGTCCCTTATCTCGCGAGTTTCCTCCTTAAATATCTGTTGAGTTGATGAGCGGAAAAAATAAAATAAAATATGACTCGGAGAATCGAACGCCCCCCCCCCGTAAAGATTAGGTTGAGGTTAAGGAGCGGCCATGTTTGTCGCGGGCACTTCGACCGTTCCTTTGCCCGCCATCTTTGTTGCTGTCGAGGCGAAGCACGGCCATATTTCTCGCGGGCAATAATGGCTGCATGATAGGTTCGGGCCACTCCTCCCAAGCCTTCCTATAGGTGTAGTTTCCAATCCTGATTGCTTTAAGGCACGTGACTATCGCGGCGGTTAGAGCATACACATTCTGATTGGCTGGCAGGCCGGCCGGCCGGCCACCCACACTCCTCCTTCCGATTGGCTGGCTGGCCTCCCACCAATCAGAAGGACCTTCCCGCGTAGCAACAAGGCAGACGGAGCATTTTGGCGGGCTGCGGACTGAGGAGGTACGTTATGGAGGCGGGTTGGATTTTTTTGACGGGTCAGATGAAGGAAGCTGAGGAAAATTTTTGCCTTTTGGTACAACTGGTTAAGCGGAACAATTGCCACCAGACTTTTCCTGAATTTTATTTTATTTTATTTTTATTTTTTTGCCTGTGGAAAAGTGATTGTGAGGAGAAAGGAGGTTATGGGGTTGGAGTGGGGTTGAGGGACGTGGTAGTGGAGGAATTTCGTCCTCCTTTTGGTAGGAAAAAAAAAAGGAGGGGGAACCTCCAAAGAGAAGCTGCTGAAGGAAGGAGGTAAGGTCCGCCTTTTGAAAAGAGCAGATGGTGAGAGACTCGAAGATTAAAAAAAAAATCTCAGATAAAAATCCAGAATGCATGCTGGCTGGGGAATTCTGAGAGTTGGAAGAAATGTCCGTCTGGGTTCAGTTCCAAGTGGGGAGAAAGACACTGGAAACATGGAGGCTGCTTGGAAAGATGGTCTAATGGTGAAGCAGGTATAGGAGGTTATCACCCACCCCTCTCCTAGGAAAATGAGATATTTTTAGGAAATATTAAAAAGGGCAGAATATTTCCCCTAAAAGGGAGGCAGAAACTCATCCCTTCCCCCTCCCCCACTTTGTCAATGGGCCATTAAGGCCTGGGCCAGTCTATTCTACATAACAAAGATATACCTCCTTCAGGCAGAGCCATAATAGGAATTGCCCAAAGCCCTTTAAAGAGCCTGAGTGGCGCAGCAGACTAATGCTACTGTTAAAGGTAATATTTAGCTTCCAGCTGCCTGCAATTACTGTGAGTTCAATTCTCACCAGGCTCAAGGTTGACTCAGCCTTCCATCCTTTCTAAGGTAGGTAAATTGAGGACCCGGTTTGTGGGGGCAATAAGCTGTCTTTGTATAAAATATACAAAAGTATGAAGGCTATTGCTTAACGCCTTGTAAGCCGCCCTGAGTCTCCGGAGAAGGGCGGCATATAAATTAAAAAATAAAAAATTACATCATCAGCAAGAGTCAACCAAGCCTGGGATTCAAAAGACAACCTACAAAGTTACCCCTGCATGGCCCCATGGGAGTCTGACAACCAATCAGAACACAAGCTCAAATTCAAAGCCAAACATAGGGTATAAATCTCTCTCTCTCAATCATTGTGCTTTTTGCACAGGACCTTAAACCTTGTGGTTCTGTCCACCATTAAAAAAAAACCATTTTTCCAGTCAGCCACCATGTTTCCAGTGTCTTTCTCCCCACTTGGAACTGAACCCAGAAGGATATTTCTTCCAACACAGGACCACCAAGCACGTATGATTCTGAGTAGCTGACCACCTGGTTTGATGAGCATATGGTTGGCAATGAGTTAGGTTTTACATCATCACCCAGCAAGGCTCAACCAAGCCTGGGACTCAAAAGACAGCCTACAAAGTTATCCCTGCATGGCCCCATGGGAGTGACAACCAATCAGAACACAAGCTCAGATTCAAAGCCCAACAGAGGGCGTAAAACCGAGGCACTCTCAGCATCTCTGCCCTTTTATTCTTTGCCCAAGATCTTCAAGGCATGTGATCCTGTTCATCAATAAACCTTCTTTCCCAGCAGTCTCCACGTTTCCAGTGTCTTTCTCCCCACCTGGAACTGAACCCAGATGGACATTTCTTCCAACACTACTATGGCTCTGTATGTAGTCAGGGAATATCCTGACTACATACAGGTAGTCCTCAACTTACGACCACAGTAGAGCCCAAAATTTCTGTTCTTAACTGAGACATTTATTGTTAAGTGAGTTTTGCCCCATTTTACGACTTTTCTTGCCACAGTGAACTGCTTGTTAAGTCAGCAACACTTGTTAAGGGAATATGACTTCCCCATTGACTTTGCTTGTCAGAAAGTCACAAAAGGTAATCACATGACCTGGGGACACAGCAACAGCCATAAATATGAATCGGTTGCCAAGCCTGTGACTTAATCACAGGATTATGGGGGATGCTGCAAAGATCACAACTAGGAATAATGGTCATAAGTCACTTTTTTCAGTGCTTTGAATGGTCACTAAATGAACTGTATGTCGAGGACTACCTCTATTGTCTGTGGAACAGATTTTCACATGATATGGTGAGAGTTTTTGCTGGAGGTCTTTAAACTGGCTGGATGCCTGCCTATCTGAAATGATGGCAAATCTTTTGGGCTGGGTGTGTGAAATACAGGTAGTCCTCGACTTAACAACAGTTCGTTTAGTGACCATTCAAAGTTACAATGGCACTGGAAAAGCTGACGACCATTGCAGCATCCCCACAGTCATATGATCAAAATTTGGACCCTTGGCAACTGGCTCATATTTATGATGGTTGCAGCATCCTGGGGTCATTTGACCATCTTTTGTGACCTTCCGACAAGTAAAGTCAATGGGAAAGCCAGATTCACTTAACAACTGTGTTACTGACTTAATTGCTGTGATTCCCTTAAGAACTGTGGCAAGAAAGGTCGTAAAATGGGGCAAAACTCAGTTAACTGTTTTGCTTAGCAACAGAAATTTTGGGCTCAATTGTAAGTTGAGGGCTATCTCTATTCAGAAAATGCCTATGATTCTGCTAGTGTATCAACCACCCTCCACCCAACAAGAGAAAAATTCTTTACTGCATTCATTTATTAAAAAAATTGAGTCTGTGGTGAAGGTGATTTCCCGAGGTGGGGTTGGAGGGGAGCATAGCTCACAGCGTGGCATACCTGGAGTGGAGCAGAGTGGTCGGGCCGCAGTGCGGGCTTTGTGGCGTCTGCCCTGCACGTGCCGCTGGCTCTGCCTTGTTGCCTGCTGGGGGCTTATCTGTAAGAACGTCACACAAAACTACCTCCTTATTATAGATGTGGGCCACTGTGTTAGCTATTTTTTGTATTGGGTGCTTAATTAAAAAAAAATTTTTTTTTTATAGACTCCAAGTCTTGAACAGCCAAAAATGAGTACAGCAAAAAAAGCAAAAGCAGATAGTGGAAGATCATTCCAGGAGGCCTGGACAGAGTCATTTGGAGTGATTGAACGCGATGGGAAAGCATTATGTATTCTGTGTTATGAAAGTGTTGTGTGTCGGACATCAAGTGTCAGACGGCACTTTGAAACCAACCACAAAAGTATTGTCAAACTTAGTGAAACTGACAGAAAAGAGTTTCTTAAAAGCAGTTTTCAAATGTCACTCTGCATAGCAAAACATGGCAAGCCCCTCTCTGATGGGGATATTATCAAAACGGCCATGTTGTCTGGGAGTAATTCCCTTTTTCATGATTTCCCAAACAAGGATAAAATTATTCAACGCATCTCTGAGATGCCACTTGGCAGGAATACTGTTGAAGATCGAGTTCAGCGCATGGCAAGTGATGTTAGTCAGCAGCTCACCACTGACTTACAAAAGGCAGCCTGTTACTCCATGTGCTTGGATGAATGCACAGATATAAATAATCAAGCAAGGCTAGCAATAATTTTGCGTTATGCTCTTGGTGACATCATGAGAGAAGAGCTGGTGAAATTGGTGTCTTTGCCTGAAAAAACACAAGGGATAGATATCTACAATGCTGTGATGGAGGCTTTTTTGTCACAGGACATAAGACCAGAAAAAGTGGTTTCAATTACTAGTGATGGGGCACCTTCTATAGTGGAGGCAACATCTGGTTTCATACAGTTATTTGTTAAAGAAACAAAACACCAAGTCATTCAGTTCCATTGTATTATACATCAAGAAGCTCTTTGTGCCAGGGAAAGCAGCAAAAAATTTGACAATGTCCTCGAAGATGTCACAATAATGGTGAATTACATGATGGCTCATGCTCTGAATTTTCCACAGTTTCAAGCACTTCTTGAAGAGGTTCAGGCACAGTATAATTGTTTACTTATGTACAATAATATCCGGTGGCTGAGCAGAGGACGAGTCCTGGAGAGATTTGTAGCCTGCTTGGAGGAAATTAGGCTGTTTATGAATGAAAAAGGGCAGGAATATCCACAGCTCACTGATATGGCCTGGCTTACCAACCTCATGTTTTTTACAGATTTTACACTACACTTCAATGTACTGAACAAACAACTACAAGGTGTAGGGAAAACAGCAGAAAAGATGTTTTGTGTTATCAAAGCATTTGAGGAAAAACTGCAGGTTTTGGAAAGAGAGCTTGAAAGTGGGCAGCTGAAATCTTTTCCAAATCTAAAAATGCATTTAGAAAATTCTACATTTGCAGACAATCCTACAAGCCATCAGGAAATCTACAAGGAATTTTCTAGCATTGTAGCAACTGCAAAGATGAACTTAAGTAACAGATTTTTACAGTTCCGTAACATGGAGACAACCCTGTGTTTTCTTACTTCTCCAGATAAAGTCGACTTTAAAGAACTTGATCTTTCCTGCTTACACTGGTTAGATTTAGAAAATCTGGAAATGGAGCTAGTGGAATTTCAAGAAAACTCCATGTGGAGAAATAAATTCTGTGACCTGCGTGAAACACTTGAGACAATAGAAGGGATGACAAAGAGCAGCAGAGTTAGTTCTGAAAGTGAAATCCTTAAAGCGTGGAATTCTCTGCCAAATCGTTTTAAGTCAATGAAAGCGCTTGGGATTGCTTTCCTTACTTTGTTTGGATCATCTTATGCTTGTGAGCAGGTATTTTCAGCTTTGAATGATATCAAATCTGATACCAGAAACAGACTAACAGATGACCTGAGTGCTGCATGCGTTTCTCTCCAACTTACAACCTATGAGCCAAGGTTTGACAAATTATCGGCATGCATACAACAGCAAACATCACATTAATTGGTCACCTTTCAATAAAAAGTTGTATCGTTGAAAGCTCTGTTACCGCGTTTTAAGACAAAAGATGTTAATGTATGAGTTGTTTTTTTCTAAACGAAAACCTCAGTATTCAGATTAAATTGCCGTGTTGGCACTTTGCAATAAAGAAGTGGGTTTTTGGTTTGCAGTTTGGGCACTCGGTCTCTAAAAGGTTCGCCATCACTGGACTAGAGAATGTTTGTGTCAATGTGTATGCATGTAGTTTGTATGTGTATGTGTAATGGTGCTGGTGTTGAGATTGTCTGGTTGAAGAGGAAATAGGTTCCATGTCAAACCTAGCAACTCAGTGACTAGGGTTTTTAATACCGTTCCCTCCCCCAGATATGGAGATCTACTTCTTGATGGAATACCATTTCCCCAAGTCAAGTTAGTTCACAATCTTGGGATTCTCACAGCCAGGAAAACCTTTGTATTAACCTACCTCATGTGCCAGATGTGTTGTTCCCAATTCAAGAGACTCTGTTTATGGCCATTCATGCCTTATTTTTTGAATGGGCTTAAATATATTTATAGGGAGCTGACCTTGAAAGTTAAGTTAGTTTATTGTCATTGCACCTTGTACAACGAAATTAAATACCATCTTCAGTGTACATTATACATAAAACAAAACACTCATCCTTCACATTCTATACAATTGAAAACCCCTGATAATTGCATTAATATTGCACTATACAGTAGAATTATCCTGTACCGTCTGCCAGGTGGTAATAATTCAAAAAAAGGGTGCCCAGGATGAGATGAAGATGATGAGCATTTGGAAGTTTTGTAGCTGCTTCAGAAGGTGGCAGTGTGTGCCTTTGGAGACACCTGTCTGGTAAAGTGGACATGCTCCAGAACCCTTGTGCGAAACAGTGTCATTTAGAGAACTTAGATAGAAAATGTGTCTTTTCAGTCCTAGTATCTGCCCTGCTCAGTCAGTCAGGATGGCTTTTCCTTTTGTTGGCTTTTTGTAAGGCCTTTAAAACCTGACTTTTCCATTAGCCATAAAGACAGAATAGTAATTGAAGCTCAGTCTGTTATTTATTGCATTACTTGAGAAATTGATTATTTTTGTGTGCCAGCTTTGTTTGTTTTACTGTTTTATCTGTATTTTCTGTTTCTTGCTTTGCTCAAATGGGCAGCCATATGCGTTTACGGAAAGGGACGCGGTGGCTCAGTGACTAAGACGCTGAGCTTGTTGATCGAAAGGTCGGCAGTTCAACGGTTCGAATCCCTAGTGCTGCGTAACAGGGTGAGCTGTTACTTGTCCCAGCTTGCACATAAAAAATGGAAGTAGAAAAATAGGAACCACCTTTGGTGGGAAGGTAACAGCGTTCCGTGCGCCTTTGGCGTTTAGTCATGGTGGCCACATGACCACGGAGATGACATGACCATGGACAGCGCTGGCTCTTCGGCTTTGAAATGGAGATGAGCACCGTCTTCTAGAGTTGGGAACGGCTAGCACATATGTGCGAGGGGAACCTTTACCTTTATGCACTTATGGAATAAACAAATAGCCCTAAATCCACTAATGATGCCAACGTGGGATTTCTTGTTGTGGTAGACCAATCATCTGATCAGCCACAGGGTGGACAAAATAAACTGGATATAATTATGTGAACATCTTTTTAAGGGTGTGTTAATGGTGACCTGTATGATACATGCTTTTCTAATCTCACTCTCTTGATACGCCAACCTTTTCTTTTTGCAAAATTTGAAAGCATTTGTTAATTCAAAGCATAATTTTATGTAATAAATTTACAGACACATTTACACATATGCTCTCAGAGCAAATGGAGAACAAAATCAATAGTTTAAACTAGGGCAAAAGGATAAGGGAGACGGGAGAACATGTTTTGCCTTGAATACAGCTTGGTAGCATTCACCCTAATCCTCTCTTTTGTGGTGATGGCTTGCTCGGATGCTGTGTGGTTGTCTGTGAGAAGGTTTGGTGGATTGACCCTGTGAATGAAAGGAAGCACAAGAATAAAACTTGTGGGTTTTTTTTCCAAAGCAAGTTCTTGTACATTCTGAAACTCACATTTACAAACCAGATGCTTTAAAAGGCTGTAGGTAGACTTTTCATAATCTACTTTTGCATCTGGGATTTAGGGACATGCTACCTCCAGACTATGCTGGAGCAATTCAGATTTATTTGTTTGTTTGTTCAATTTATATGCCGCCCTTCTCCGAAGACTCAGGGTGGCTTACAATGCACTTATAGCACTAGCCTTCATTCTTTTGTATATACCTGTTTATTAGGGCTTTTGGCCCCCCATAAGCGGTGTTTCTACAAAGTCAGCTTATGACAGGTTGATGAGACACCTGTTCTACAAAGGTGTTATAAGGGAATTTAGAACAGGACAGTTGTGCTGATAGAAATAGACATATTATTTCTATTGGCACAACTGTCCTAAATTCCTTTAGTGCTGTTTAATTTTTTTAGTATAAAACTGTAGTCTTGCCCAGTAGAGGTAATAGATTCCTGCTGTTTTGACTGCCTGGTTCTGTAACTTTCCTCCCCATCTTGTTTAAGGGGCAAACTTTTCTTACTGGATTTATTTAACCGAAATACTTTGAACTACATCTCCCAGCATCCTATACCAGGACTGGCGATGACAGCAGCTTTTGGAACACGTAGTTCAGCAACATCTGGAGGATCAGACCACCTCTTTCTGAAACGCAAAATGCAAGCATTCGTGATCGTGGACGGCAGCAAACAAAAGCGAAAGAGACTTGCCTTTATGTGTTGAATCCAGTTGTTTTTTGAAGTACTTCTGTCTTTCGTCTAACTGATGAGCCATCTGGACGTTCTGCCATCCTGGGAGAGATTAAAGCAAGAGGCAGCTAACCTTGCATGACCACACGAATATAGCCAACCCATTCCTGCCTTCAGCCGTTTCCTCTCAAACTCACCTTCCTTGATGCTCTTCAGGAAATCTTCCTGGGGCGGTAAGCTCTTAGGATTGTGTTTCAGACTCTCAGGGATGCGAAAAAAAGCACGAGCGGCAGGTAAACGAAAGAGTAATATTTGCATAATGGAGAATAAATTGGATGTCAGCCAGTAGGTAAAGATAGCCTGCATGAGATAAAGAGAGCATGGGACATCAGGTGATCTGCTGGGTTCTAGGTTTGCTTCACTCCTTCAGGCACTGATGATGTTATCTAGCCTGGTATAGAAATGTCTGAAGGAAATCAAGCTCGCACCAAGAATCCCAACAATTCAACACTAAGTACCGTATTTTTCGGAGTGTAAGACGCACCCTTAAAAGAGGGTGAAAATTTAGGTGTGTCTTATAGACCAAGTACATTTTTGGCTTCCCAAGCCCTCTGCATTATGTTTTCATCTTCTCCGGCCCCTAGAAGCACTTTGCAGTGCTCCACACAGCCCATTTTTGCCAAAAATGGGCCTGTTTTTGGGCTCCGAAGTGCTTTGCACGTCACGTTTTCGTCCTCCCTGGCCCCGAGAAGCACTCTGCAGGCCAAAAACAGATACATTTTTGGTGAAAATAGGCTGTGCAGAGCATTGCTTCTGGGGGCCTGGGAGGGCGAAAATCCGGAGGCCAAAACCTATTTTTTTCTTGTTTTCCTCTGTAAATTTAGGTGCGTCTTATAGTCTGGTGCGTCTTACAGTCCAAAAAAATATTCTTTACTACTGAAATTAGATGACCTCTCCCTGCACCACTGAAACACAGAAATGACAGAGGGGATGCAGTCCTTCCTTATATGGACTAGACACTTAAATGGTAATAACCAGCTCTAAATCTCTGCCCCGATGAACTAAATTGATGTCCTTTCTTAGTGCCTGAAGGTTGTGGTGGAACAATGGGCTTTAGCTGAGTTGAGTGGCTTTAGATTTTAAGGCCTTCTGTATCTGAGGATTTACCATCTTTGTGTTGGGATGGGGGTGGTGCTGCCCCAAGCATACCTAGTGCCCAAGTTGCGGGGTGTGTGTGTGTGTGTGATCTGGAGTCATGATTCCTGCTTGAAGAGTAGGTGGCAGTTATGGCCAGCAGGGCCTCTGCCCAAATTTGTGCTATGTGCCATGTGCCAATTGTGTGCCAACTTTCTTGGGTCAGGAGATTAACTTTCAGTCATTCCTGCAGTAGTCACCTCCTGAATGGACTACTGTAATGCACCTTACATGGGGCTACCCTTGAAAAAGTATCCAGACATTTCAGTTGGTACAAAATGCAGTAGGCAGGGTGTTCTGACCCAGCTCCACAAACACGACAAACCCTCTGTATTTAAACCAATGATTCCTTTATTAGGAGCGCCAGCAGCCCTGGCAAAAAAAAATATCTCTCAACGCAGACTAATAAATCTGTCCGGCATGGAGATGAATAGTTGTCTGCCACACCTATTCATCTCCGCCCCCTGCCTTTTATCCCCAGAGCTAGGGTGGGGATTCTGTCCCAAGGATTGTCCCACAGATTTCCACTGCTCTTCTTTCTTCTGTTTTCTGTGCATCCGTGCGTCAGGCACTGGACCCAGCTGTTCCTCCTCTTCCTCATCAGCCACTTCCAAACCTGGAGGCTGTAGACTCCCCATCTGGGGGCTCTGCCTCTGGTCTCTCTCTCTCTGCCAGCTCCATTCCCTCTTCCCCCTCGGAGCTCTCAGGTTGCCTTGATGCTGCCACTGCCTCTTCTGATTCGGCTGCTGGAGGGGGCAGGGGGCAGTAATGCATACTCCAAGATCTGCACATGCTACACTTCTGCCATGTGAGGTGTGCCCCCAGGGGGCATGCAAGTACCAGAAAATGAACTTCCGGTTTCCGGTGCGCGAATGCTGCCGGCCAGATAGTCTTCCAGTTACTGGTGCGCATGATGATCAGCTGGCCAGCACACATGCTCATGCCAGAAAAATGGAAGACCAGCTCTTCCGGCACTGCCGCATGCACGAAGGCCAGCTGATCATCATGCGCACATGCATGCCAGAAACCCAGAAGAGGAACGGGCAACGCCGCACATGCCAGGCAACATGCTTCCACGTGCCACTTTGGGCACGCATGCCATAGGTTCACCATCACATTTATAAATATAAATGGCTGTGTGTGTGTATGTTCCAGCATAACCTGGTACACAGATGACTTATTCTCTGGGAAAAAATACTGTGGGGGTAAGATACCCCTAATGCCTCTTGGGGTGTCTGTGTGTTCCAGCATAACTGGAATGCCTGGGCTGCTGAAATGAAAAGGAATGAATTATATCTATAGTGTCAAATCACAGTACTTTTGACAGTGATAGTCTGCATTTTGGATTCAAGTTCTGTTAAGATATAGCCTATTGTGCCTTAAAATGGCTTCTACTGTACAGCACAGTGCAGTTGTCATGGTAACAGCTTCACAATACTCCACAAGGGGGCTCCCTTTGGTAAGGGGGATTGGTTCTTAAAGAAAAATAACACCACCCTAGGCCCTCAGCCTCAAGCCAAGAGGGCAAGTTGTCGGGGGAGGCGCCTGTTAATGCAAATAATGACCTCAAAGGCAGGATTGGGATAAATAAATACCCGGGCAACGCCGGATTATCAGCTACCATGTTTTCCCGAAAATAAGACTCTGTCTTACATTTTTTTGAACCCTGAAATAAGCGCTTGGCCTTATTGCCATGCGCTCAAAAGCCCGATTGGGCTTATTATCAGGGGATGTCTTATTTTGGGGGAAACAGGGTAGTTAATAAATAAAAATCTACCGGCTTTCCCGCAGAACGCAGCTGAAATGCCCTCTTACCGTTGGAAAGGAAATTATGAAAGGAAGGAAGACCACTGGCATCACTCGGAAAACCTTTTTCATTAGGTCCAGGTGTGGGTTTGGAGGTCCTGTTTGCAATCCAATCTGACGAAGAAACAAAATAGATCGGTGTTATCGAGTGGCCATTGCTCAATTTTCAATTCTTCGTGTTTCATGTATATGTCCCCAGTCCTCATTCTCCATCACCAGGATGATTTTGACATTTAAATTAGCCTGCCGGGAAACAAGCGGGCCAAAGATCCAGTTAGAGCCAGGCTTCAGATAAAAGGAGAGTCACTCAATCCCTAGCCAAGATCTGGCTAAATTTTTATATGGTCCACCCCAACAGTGCTTTCTGTCAGTGTATAAGAAATTATGAACTGGAATAGCCATAACAACAAGTCAGCCAATGGGAACTGTTTAGTGACTGAGACACAGGATTTGTTGTGAGCCATGTGAGACAGCTCGGAGCCCAGGTGTGGTTTAGCTTAACTGTTCTGTGTATATAAGAGTTCATTTGTCCTTGCATGATTGTTCTATCTTCTGGCTTCTTGTTCTTGTCCTTGCTACTACTCTCTACCCCGTTGCAAGAGCTGCATGGGTATTCTATACATGCATCATGTTTTATATTATTGTATATAAAGAAGTTTCTTCTATAAATGAATCCTGCTGAATTATTTGCTTGTGTGCTGGCTGGATAGCTACAAACTCGTAACACTTTCTCATGCCCACCAAAATCGTGACAGGTAGAGGAAGAGATGTGGATGAACTCTTAAGTAATAGCTAAGCAGCAGCAAAATCTCTGGATAACCAGACTTTGCTTTCAAATTGCCCAAATCTAGAATTCCGTTGCCTGGTGATTGGTGCAAAGTCACCCAGTCATTTTTCCTGCATAAGGTTGGACTAGAACTCCCCATCGCCTGGAGATTGGCCCAAAGTCACCCAGCCAGCTTTCATGCTTACGGTGGAACTAGAATTCCCAGCATCCCGATTTCTGACCTAGCACCATAACCAAGTCTTACCTCCGTAACAATCCACATGGTGACAGATGCCATCACGGGTAGTATGTAGTAAGGATCCGGGGCAGTGAGATCCGTGAACCACCATAGTCCCCCCGTCTGCATGCTGGGTACAGGACACTCCGCCATTTTGCGCAGGGCAAAGAAGAAGGAGATGAAAATGGGAGCCTGAGACCGAGAAGGAAAGAAGAGGTCAAGCCGGGAAGCCGTGCACACGAAAACCAATTCCAAGCATGTCATAAAAGCTGACCTGGACAAAAGGCGTGATTAATCCCCGTAGGGGGTTAATATTATGGGTTTTCTGGAAGTTCTCCAGATCCATGATGGCCTGCGAAACTGAGAGGAAAAGAGACAGGGTTAGGGTTAGAGTGCGCAGAGTGTGACTATGTGAGATAACCCAGGAGCAAATACAGTAAACAGGTTTGCATTTAAATAGTGGTTTTATCTACAAAGTATACATACACGTACTTTAGTCAGATTTCAAACAAACAGCAATTACAGCACAAGAGAGATAAGCCCCAACAGGGCCTCTTCTTATTACAGGCTCTTAAAGTGATATCAGCCCAAAAACCTTGCTGACTCATTCCTAGCATGGTATCATCGTAGCAGCTGGTCAGCTCTTAAATCATTATCCTGACACAGGAAATGTGATGCTAAGATACAACTGGACCTGTCTGACCAGCATTGCTTACGAACGCTTCGTGTCCTCCAGATCGTGGACTACAATTCCTATCTCCCTCAACCATGGCGGTGCATTTTAGAGGCTGGTAGTATTTATGGAGGATTACCTTTCCATCCACTTCGTCATCCTTCAGCCTGACGTTACCTTAACAGCTGCTGTTGCAGTCTTTGTTTAATCCCAAAGCTTTTATTAGTCCCACTCAGGTTTGATCCCATTTTAAACTTACACTGTAGTCTGTTGCCTGTCTTCTTCGCTTCGCTGATTCTAGCAGTTAACGCATTAATTTGGGGCACTTGGTTGTTTAATTTGATCGCGTCTCGCTGGCTCTTTACAATGAGCGGGAAAACCAGACAGCGTATAAATACCGTCCCTGGAAATTGGGCAGAGAGAGAAGAGGTGCATTATTCTGCAGGACAACTACAAGCTTGCTGGTAGCCACACAGAAGTTCAGTCCCTCAAAGAGTTTATCTCAGAGATGCAGAAAGTCTTAATTCCATAGCTCATCGGCAACCTTAAATACTCAAAGAGCCACAAAGGACCTAACCGGAAGCCCCCCATTCAATTCTGGAGCCGAGAGGAAGTCCAATTCCCCCACCATAGTGTCTCCTCCTAGCACGGCATCCTTTTTCCTGCCCTACCTGCCCTAACCAAAAGCCCTATCAATTGTGGAGCCGACCAGCGACAGGGAGCCAAACCAGAGGGATGAAAGATCCACATGCGGCTCCAGAACTGCAGGTTGCTGACCCCTCCCATAGCTGGACAGAGGAGGCTGCGATAACCCACAAGAACACAGGTCATTCCCCCCCCCCCCAAAAATATTTTTTAAAGTTTTTTTTTTTTAAATTTAAGATTCTACTCTGCTGACTTTGGACACCTGAGAACGAAATATCGTATAATTCGGACTATAAGATGCACCGGAGTATAAGACGCACCAAGATTTCAAAGAGGAAAACAAGGAAAAAAAATGTTTTTGGTCTCCGCACGTCCGGTGTTTGCCCTCCCCAGGCCCCAGGAGCACTCTGCAGGCCGCCCAAACCCTCTGTGCATCCCATTTTTGCGAAAAATGGGCCTGTTTTTAGGACCCGCAAGGTGGGGTTTTGGGAGACCAAAAATGGCCGTATTCGGCCTATAAGATGTACCGACATTTCCACCCTCTTTTAGGGGGGTAAAAAGTGCATCTTATACTCCGAAAATTATGGTAAATGTTTACAGTACCCTGACAGCAATTCTGTCTACCAATTTTGGCTTGGGTTCCTCAACACGTCGCCTTACACAAGGAGTGATCCGAGACACGAACTGCAATTTTTAAACCATGGTTTTTATCTTAAGTCTGCCCAGAATATTTTCTTCTGGTTCCTGCAGGATGAAAAGCACTTTTTCCTCCCCTCCCTATCTGGCCTTTAAAACTGGATTTGCCAATGACTGAACTGCTCTTCGCTTCCCAATCGCGATGCATAATTCCTTGTCCACCGATAGTGTTCACGCGTAGTCCTCGACTTACGACAGTTCCTCTAGTGACTGTTTGAAGTTACAACAGCACTGAGAAAGATCGACTTGTTTTTTTCCACGTTTATGATGTTGCAAGGCCACGTGATCAAAATTCAGACTGACTCGCATATATGACGGTCGCAGCGTCCCGGGTTCACGTGATTCCCTTTGGCGACCTTCTGACGAGCGAAGTCAATGGGAAAGTCAGATTTCACTTAGCAACCGTATTATTAAATTACCGTATTTTTCGGACTATAAGATGCACTTCTTTGTCTCCCAAAAGTGGGTTAAAATGTCTGTGCGTCTTATAGACTGAATATTGCCGAAAAACCACCTGCTGGCTGTTTGTTGGCCTTCACAAGCCCTGTTTTGGGGTCTTGTTTTGGCCTTTTTCAGGCTTTTTTTTTTTACCTGTTTTCGAGGCTTTTTTTGGCCTGTTTTCAAGGCTTTTTTTGCCCTGTTTTCAGGACTTTTTTTGAGGCTTTTTAAAGTCCATTTTCAAGTTTTTTTTCAGCCCATTTTCAAGGCTTTTTGTGGCCCTTTTTAAAAGGAAAAATGGGCTGAAACAGCCTTGAAAATGCCCCCCCCCAAAGAAGGCTGGAAAAGGGTAAAAAAGGGTAAAAAAAAAAAAGGCCCTAAAAAAAGCCTGAAAATAGGGCATGCGGAGGCCGAAAATATTTTTTTTCTTCTTCTAAATTTAGATGTGTCTTATAGTCTGGTGTGACTTATAATCCGAAAAATATGGTAACAACTGCGGTGACTCCCTTAACCACTGTGGTAGGAAAGGTCGTAAAAATGGGGCAAAATTCACTCAACTGTTTCGCTTAGCGACAAATTTTGGGCTCCATTGCGGTGGTCAATTGAGGATACCAGGGGTGTCAAACTCGATTTCATTGAGGGTGGGGTGGGTGTGGCCAGAATGGGTGTGGCCTGCTTGATGTCACTCATGTCAGGGGCGCCTGTGGCAGCCCAAGTGTCCTGCCAGCGAAAACAGGCTCCCGAGCTCCATTTTCCGGCTGCGAAAGCCTTGTTCTGTCCCAGCCTTAGCAGAAACTCTTGTCCCGAAAAAATCCCTCTTTATCTCCTGTGAATTAATGGCATCCACACACCGAAAAGTCCAGGCAATAATCCTTCAAAGCGTTAACAGCAGTAACAGACCTTATCAGTTCTTTCAGATAATTGCCAGACCATGAGTTCCCAGCCGCAAGGGTGCAAATTAAGTTCTGGCAAGGAGTCTTTGTAGCACAAAACACAATGAGCAAAATCTTCAGCAATACGAATGGTTGTCTCCTACAACCACCACTCCCCTTTCCTTCTATTTATTCCCCAGCCAGGGAGGGGCCATTCAGCATCCACGTGTGCTTTGCTTCCCGAGTCGACTCCTTGTCCTCTGTTGCTCTCCTCTCCTAACTGCTCTGCACATACCACGTGCGTCTGGAACAGGCCCCAGCTGTTCTTCCTCCTCACTCATCTCTGCCTCCAAAGGCAACTGTTTCTCCGGTGGCTGGGAAATGTCGGACGGCCCTGGCTCTATCTCTGTGTCCGACGCAGAGCATCCATCAGAGCCTTCCCCAGACTCCAGCACTGGCCCAAGTTCCTCCCCAACCTCCTCACTGTCCGAGTCTGGCGGGCCACAACAAGCCTCCTGCAGTCGTCTGCCAGTGAAAGCGGAGCTCAGGAGGGCCGCGTACCAGATCTAAATACCTCGTGGGTCACATCTAGCCGTGGGCCTTGAGTTTGACACCCCTGTTTGTGTAACAATGCCTTTTCTGTTCCCATCTGCTTCACCATCCCATCAATCTTCTTTACCTGCCACAATGGCGCCCCACCAAGGCAGCCCCAAGTCCAAGTGGAACGATTCCAAAAACTTCAGGATAAAGCCCACTGGCGTGTAGCTTTCCAGGCCCAGTTCAGCCAAAGTCGGCTCTTGCAAAACTTGACTGAGCTCCTCTAAAGGGAGGAGTTCCTCCAGAGGTGGGGCGGATACACCTTGAGCAACCTGAAAGGCACAAATGACAGTTAAACGAGTCCCACGTACAAAACGTTACTCTTCCCAAAATCCCAAAGACTGGATGAAGTTTCCTTCTCAGGAGATAAAGAGGAATCGATGTATTTCAAGAAATGGGGAAGTTTTTATGATTGATTAGAAAAAAAATATGAATAAAGATAGAGAGAGGAAGAGGATAGGTGTTGTGGCCTGTCAGCGGCCTGTGCAGTTAGTAGCTGATTCCGACAATGAGGAGGCTGGTGTGGTGCTGTGCCAGCAGCCTGTGCAGCTGGCGCTCAAGTCGGACAGTGAGGAGGCTGGAAATGTGGTGCCAGAGGCAGGGATTCAGCCAGGGCCTATAAGTGAAGAGGAAGAAGAGGAGGAGACTCTTCTCGATGCACGGGTGCGCAGAGTTGCCAAAAGGCTGGAGTGGCTCCTCAGGAGGAGGTCTCCTCGAGAGTAAGGCTTGGGGCTAATTGGCCACTCCCTTAGCCTATTTAAGGAGGAACGCCAATTGCAGCAAGCTGTAGGGAACAACTTTAGTTCACTCTCCTTCACGTCTGGATTCTCTGCATAATTGCTTCTGAGCTTTCTGCCAACTCTAGTAATACTGTGATTACCTTATCTTAGAACTCTTGTAGGCTGTTAAGACAGTTTATTAATATATGTCAGTGCTGGGACGCTGACACAGCCTTTGGTTGAAAAAGACTGAGTTATTTGAGTAAAATAAAGTTTCGTATAGATTTTGTGTGTGCTGCGTTCTTTGGGGTCCGTAGCTGGGGCAGAACAATAGGGAAAAGATAAATAAGAGAAAAGACAATAAAAAGAATAGAAACTCAGCTGACGCCTAGGCAAATGGAAAAGGGGGAAGAGAAAAAGAGTTACTATAAAAGCATACATGAATGATAAAACAGATGTAATTATTAAACAAAAAAATTTGAAATGAAGATATATGTAAATAGAAAATCGGGGCTGCTCGAATACCATTCTAGATTAAATTGAAAATGGATACAACAAAAGAGTGGGAAAGGAGAGAGGAAAGGAGGGGAGAAGAGAGGAAAGGAGAGAGAGAGATAGAAGAGAGGAAGAAGGTGAGAAAGAAAAGGGAGGGGGAAGAAGGGTAGGAGAGAGGGATAGAAAGGGAGGAAGAAGAGAGGAACAGGGGGAAGGAGAGGGGAAGTAGAATGGGAGGAGAGGAGGAATGAAGAAAGTAGAAAGGGACAGAAGAAGGAAGAGGAGGGAAGAAGAGGAACGGTTGTGGTAAAACAAAGAGGAAATGGTAAAAGAGCAGCCCCGAACAAATAAAAATGAAAGTTAAAGGAGAAGATGAATGATCAATGATCAATGATGGATAAGAGACTATACTTAAATATGTTTATGAGAAATAAGTTTCCTTTTCAACAGTACCTGGATGCCTGCCACAGCCGCCGTGCTCTGACACCGGACTGCGAGTCTCCAAGGAGGGAGAGGAAAACTATGTCCCTTCAGCTGAGGGACAAAAGAAGTTTTCGCCTGCGACCACCTCAGGGGAACCGTCGTCCTATGAACCTGCAAAGGAAGTGGCAAATTAATAAACCGGGAATCGCAATGCCAACAAAGCCATTCGGTTCATCCGGAAAACAGCCAAAGCGCAAGGATAGTTGTAAAACAGCCTCACGCTCGGGATGTGGGGCTGTTTTCCAGGCCGTTCATGGATTTGCAATGTTCCTTCTCTCTGCAAACCCCACTCCCTTCTGGCACTGATGATGTAACCTAGTCTGGTCATGAAACATCCTCCTCCTCCTCTCTCTTTTTTTAATTTTAAAAAAGTTTTTTTTATTAATAATCCAAAATTAAAAAAAACATTGGACACAGATATGACATCACTGGTTCCAAACATCTTCCGTCACTTTACAATAATATTAGTACTCATATAAACATGTAGTTCTTAAGCTTTGTTCACTATTTAAGCATAATATATGATATTAATAATTTTTCCCTTATTTCTGTATATTTATTTATCTCTTAAACATACATTTATCTATAACATCTATATTTTTGTTCTAACACTATACATTTCTCTTGGCTACCCTCTTGTTATCTAGCCAATCATAAAATTGTTCCCAGATTTTGTAGTACTTAGTTTCGCTTTTATCCTTGAGTTCCAAAGCGAGTCTGTCCATTTCTGCGCAGTTAAAGATTTTCAGTAATATTTCCTCTTCAGTTGGAATCTGTTTCTCTTTCTATTTTTGAGCGAAGGCTATTCGTGCCGCTGTGAGTATATGCAGTAATAAATAATTTGTATCTTTCTTATATTTTCTTTCTATAATTCCCAATAAGAAAAATTTCCGGTTTGACCTCTATATCCGTTAGCCAAAATTCTTCTTTGGAATTTACTAAAGACACACCCTCCTCCTCCTCCTCCTCGACACATCCCTCCCTCTTTTCTAGCACTAATGATGTTACCTGGAGGGAATCATTAGAACAAACCTTGGAGGTTTAGAATGAATGAATGAGCTGGAAGGGATCTTGGAGGTCTTCTAGTCCAGTCCCCTGCTCAAAGCAGTAGATCCTATACCATTTGGAAAACGTCTGGAGGGAAACAATCCAGGTCAGGGAGCTCCCAAGGAGCCCCACAATCCTCCTCCTCTACTTCTCTGCAAATGCATATTCCCTTCTAGCACTGATGGTGTTACCTAGTGTGTCCATGAAACGTCTGCAAGGAAAACAACCCAGCTCAGAGAGCCCCTAAAGATCCCACAATCCTCTTCCTCCTCTTCTCCGCAAATGCCATTCCCTTCTATAGCACAGACGGTGTTATCTAGTCTGGTCATGAAACGTCCTCCTTCTCTTCGTCACATCCCTCCTTTCTAGCACTGATGATGTTACCTAGTCAGAATCATTAGAATAGAGCTGGAGGGAGACCTTGAAGGTTTAGAATGAATGAATGAGCTGGAAGGGACCTTGGAGGTCTTCTAGTCCAGCCCCCTGCTCAAAGCAGGAGATCCGATTGGAAAACATCTGCAAGGAAACAACCCAGCTCAGGGAGCCCCCAAGGACCCCACAATCCTCCTCCTCCTCTTCTCTGCAAACGCATATTCCCTTCGAGCACTGATGATGTTACCTAGTGTGGTCATGAAACTTCTGCAAGGAAACAGCCCAGCTCAGGGAGCCCTCCAAGAACCCCACAATCCTCCTCTTCTTCTCTGCAAACGCATATTCCCTTCTAGCACTGATGATGTTACCTAGTCTGGTCATGAAACGTCTGCAAGGAAACAGCCCAGCTCAGGGAGCCCTCCAAGGACCCCACAATCCTCCTCTTCTCTGCAAACGCATATTCCCTTTTAGCACTGATGATGTTACCTAGTGTGGTCATGAAACGTCCTCCTCCTCTTCCTCACACCCCTCCCTCCTATTAAGCACTGATGATGCTACCTAGTGTGGTCATGAAACGTCTGCAAGGAAAACAGCCCAGCTCAGGGAGCCCCCCTCCAAGGACCTCCACGTTGCAAATCAGGATGAACTTCAAGCAGGCCATTTCCCTGCTTTCAACCTTCAGGGTTCAACCTTGCAGGTAATACAAGAGCAACAAACAGGAGGGAAACAGGCTGAGATGATCCCCTCAGCCCTAGTTTGGGCCTAAGTTAAGGCCCTGAGGGGAGGCGGAGGAGGAGGAGGCCAGCGGAGCCTCTCTCGTCCTTGGGACTCCCCGTCCGACACCCGAGGAGACCGACAGTCAACTCAGTCCTGGGTCAAACCGGGCGCTTCGCCTGCAAGGACGAGCAGCGCAGGCCTGAGGCGGGCCCGGTGGACTACATCTCCCATCAACGCGAGGGGCGCGTGACGTCACAGGGCCCGGGCCTACCCACCTGTGCGTGAATCCCCCCCGCCGAGATCCACGCTCGCCGCAGCGCCCCGAAAGCCGCCATGGTCTCCTTTTGGCTTGGGCTCCGCGGAGGAACCGGCCGCCTCGTGACGTCACAAGGAGCGTCGCGTCCCTTTCCGGCCCGCGACGCTCCTTCCGAAGCCGCCGCAGCCATCTTGGCTACGGGTACGTGGTTTTGCCCGCCTCTCCTCTGCCCTACAGGAGAGGCGATCTCTAGGACTCTTTTTCTCGCGAGTTCCTTCTTAAGGAGTCAAAGTCGAGGGAGCGGAAAATAAAAATAAAAATGAAACGCCGTCTGGGAAAAGGGTAAAGGTTCAGGAGACGTCATCCACCGTGGTCATATTTGTCACGGGCACGTCGAGCCTTTTTGGCGGAGTGAAACCACATTTTGTTGCGGTCGCAAAACGGAAGAGGAAGCGCGGCCATATTTGTCGCGGGCAAACGATGCCTCCATAAATAGGTTAGGGCAATCCCTCCCAAGCCCAGCTGATAAACTCGTTTGGTTTCATTCTACCACACGTGGCCACTGTGGGGCGCTCTTGTACGCGTTACTTCCTTGTTATTAGTGCTAAATTAGGATGTTAATGAATTAATTTAAGGAGTGTAACTCCATTAAACAGGCAGGATCAACAGCAGCTCCCCAACGTGGCCATTTAAAACCATTTGAGACAGTGGTGAAATCCAAATTGTTTTAGTATCAGTTCTGTGGGCGTGGCTTGGTGGGCGTGGTGTGGCTTGGTGGGCGTTGGAGGGGAAGGATACTGCAAAATCCCGATTCCGACTCCACTCCTGGGGGAAGGATACTGCAAAATCCCCATTCCCTCCCCACTCCTGGGGGAAGGATACTGCAAAATCCCCATTCCCTCCCTCCCCACTCCTGCGGGAAGGATGTTGCAAAATCCCCATTCCCTCCCCACTCCAGGGGGAAGGATACTACAAAATTGTTGTGGAATGAGGGACCAAACAACATTCCTGGGTCAGCCAGAGACAGTTTTATTGCGCAAGGTTCAGAGCCAGATTTGTACCTGAAGCTTTGAACAAGGAAAGTACTGTGATACCTCTGTTTTTATACATTTCTAAGACAAAGGATTCAGTGAGCTCATGCATTTTCCATATATGGTTACATACATACGATTTTCCCTATATGGTTACATACATTGGATAATATGTTCATCTAATTACTAAATCATTATTTTTAGTTTATAAAATTATCTTAGCTACACAACTTTTTCTTAAGTGCTGGTAGTTTCTAATGGGAGATTTACTGATGTTCTTGGGTAATAAGAGGTAATAAGTGACTCTTTGTTTCTTGTGTCTGTTTTTGTGTATCTGACAGTGGGGCCATTCAGATGTATTCCATCTGGCTGTCCTTCCGTGACAGCTAGGCCTCATCAGAAGACTTATTACCCTAATGGGGTTTAACTGTTTTTTAATGTAATCTCCAACAAGCACGTTTCTCTCTTATAATAATGTGAATAGAGAGGGTCTCTCAGAGTTCATGTATCTAAGCACGTTTTTTCCTTTATAATAATGTGAATAGAGAGGGTATCCTAGAGCTCATTTATCTGACTCTGTATGATTCCTTCTTTTATCCACATTAAAATCACCATTCCCATCCCACTCCAGGGGTGAAATCCAGCAGGTTCTCACAGGTTCTGGAGAACCGGTAGTGGAAATTTTGAGTGGTTTGGAGAACCGGCAAATACCACCTCTGGCTGGCTCCAGGTGTGGGGAGGGAATATTTGCAGTATTCTTCCCCCTGGAGTGGGGAGGGAATGGAGATTTTGCAGTATCCTTCCCCCTGGAGTGGGGAGGGAATGTGGATTTTGCAGTATCCTTCCCCTTGGAGTGGGGAGGGAATGGAGATTTTGCAGTATTCTTCTCCCTGGAGTGGGGAGGGAATGGAGATTTTGCAATATCCTTCCCCCAGGAGTGAGAGGGAATGGAGATTTTGCAGTATCCTTCCCCTTGGAGTGGGGAGGGAATGTGGATTTTGCAGTATCCTTCCCCCTGGAGTGGGGAGGGAATGGACATTTTATTTTATTTATTTTTATTTTATTTTATTAAATTTCTATACCGCCCTTCTCCTGAAGGACTCAGGGCGGTGAACAGCCGCAAGATAAAAACACATAAATACAAAAATTTAAAATCAAATAAAAACGAATTAAATAATTCGTATCCTTCCCCCAGGAGTGGGGAGGGAATGGAGATTTTGCAATATCCTTCCCCCTGGAGTGGGGAGGGAATGGGGATTTTGCAGTATCCTTCCCCCAGGAGTGGGGAGGGAATGGAGATTTTGCAGTATCCTTTCCCTGCCACACCCACCAAGCCACGTCCACAGAACCAGTAGTAAAAAAAAATTGAATTCCACCACTGCACTCACCCCTTCTCTTAGAAGATGAAACATTTTAGGAAATATTTAAAAAAGGCGGAATATTATATTTCCCTAAATGAGAAATGGGGAAACATGGTTTTTTTAAAAAAATCAGTCTCTAATCTTGCAGGTTTTGGGTGTCTAATAATAAACAGAAGACATAAAGCATGAGAAGGAACAAAGGAACACCAGAGCATGTGGCTTTGGCCTTCCTAAGTATTTCCTCCCCCTTTTCTCTGTCTACTGCAAGAAAAAATTGCTAATGTCAAATGCAAAGAATCCACCTGCTAATACACCCATTTTAAAACGCCATCACTGAGCTGGGAGACTTCAAATTATTACCTGTCTGTGTTCTGCGTTGAAAACACTGATTTGCGCCTCTTCTTCCTTGTTCTTTTCTCATCCCTTCTTCGGGTCCCAATTAAAATAATATTTTTAAATGCATTTTCAGGGCGGAGAATTGTTTTACGAAGCGAAGCAAGGAGCGGTTTCAAAGTTGCAATGCAATTTAAATTAAATCGAGTGCATTCAACCGTGCGTGTTTTCCCAGGGTGGATGAAGGAAGCCATTTATTACGTGCAGAGACTAGAAAAAAAATGAAAAACAGGGCTATAATTTTTTTTTAAAAAAAATGTCGCGTATGTGAGAACACGTAACGCTCAAGGGGATTCATTAGGAAGATATCAATGGGTAGTCCTCACTTAATGATGGCAGTTGGGGGCAGATTTCTGTCGCCCAGTTTTTAAGTCCTGTCCTGCGATCTCTGGACTTCCATTACAGATGAACAGAGCTGGAAGGGACTTTAGAGGTCATCTAGTCCAACCCCCCACCTAAGCAGGAGACCCTACACCAGTGATGGCTAACCTTCTTGCCATCGCGTGCCAGGAGAGGGGGGGCGGGGGAGGGTCGCGCGCGCACGTGCCCACGCACATGTGTGTGCAAATCCCTCCCCCCTCCCCCCTCGCTCCTGGCACATGATGGCCTGGTAGGCCCGTTTTTCTTTCTTACTTGGTTCCAAATCCTCTCTGTGTATCTGGGAACGGCGAAAACAGCCTTTCCCACTCCCTTGGAGGCCCTACAGAGGCTGAAAGGGCCCATTTCCCAACTCCCGGTGGAACAGGAAGTGACATTTTTTGCTGTCCCCAGCCTCCAGAACCTCTCTAGGAGTCTCTAGGAGCCTCTCTAGGAGTCTCTGGAGGCTGGGGACGGGAAAAAAAGTCACTTCCTGTCCCACCGGGAGTGGGGAAATGGGCCCTTTCAGCCTCCGTAGGGCCTCCAAGGGAGTGGGAAAGGCTGTTTTCGCCGTTCCCAGATACACAGAGAGGATCTGGAGCCAGGTAAGAAAGAAAAACGTGCCTTCCCCACCCCCCCAGGCCCTCCAGAGGCAGGAAACAGCCTGTTTCCCTACTTCTGGTGGGCCCAGAAGGCCCGAAAATCAGCTGGCCGGTGCGCACATGCACCCCAGAGCTGAGCTGGCGTGCCCACTAATATGGCTCCGCGTGCCACCTGTGGCACGCGTGCCATAGCTTTGCCATCACGGCCCTACACCATTTCTGACAAATGGCAGTCCAGTCTCTTCTTGAAAGCCTCCAGGGATGAAGCTCCCACAACTTCCGAAGGCAACTTCTGTTCCATCGGTAGATTGTCCTCACTGTCAGGAAATTTCTCCTTATTCCCAGATTGAATCTCTCCTTGTTCAGTTTCCATCCATTATTCCTTATGTGGTCTTCAGGGGCTTTGGAGAATAGCTTGATCCCCTCGTCTCTTTGGCAGTCGCTCAAACATTGGAAGACTGCTATCGCGTCTCCCCCGATCCTTCTCTTCACATGCCCAGTTCCTGTAACCGTTCTTCATATGTTTTAGTCTCCGGTCCCCTCATCATCCTGGTTGCTCTTCTCTGCACTTTTCCTAGAGTCTCAACATCTTTTTTAGAGTGTGGTGACCAAAACTGGATGCAGTACTCTAGGTGTGGTCTTACTAAGGCTTTATAGAGTGGTATTAGTACCTCACTTGATCTTGATTGTATCCCTCTGTTAATTCAAGTTAGGATTGCATTGGCTTTTTTGGCTGCCGCCGTACAACACTGGCTCATATTTAGCTGGTTGTCCACTAAGATCCCTCTCACAGTTACTGCTATTAAGCCTGGTTTCACCCAGTCTATATGTGTACTTATGCCTAAATTTACTTATTTATTTATTTATTTATTTATTTATTTATTACATGTATTTATATGCCGCTATTCTTCCAAAGGACTCAGGGCGGCGAACACAAGTTAAGAAATAAGTACAATAAAATCATAATTTAATCCAAATAATTAATTAGTAGTAAATAATAAAGCCCGGAATCAGTCTCAGCCTATTTGTTTGAAAAGCCAAGTCTTCAAGTCCCGACAGAAGGAGCGGAGATCAGGAGCTGTCCGGAGCTCAGTAGGTAATTCAGTCTAGTTGCCGTTGCTAAGTGAATCACTGTGGGTTGTTAAATGAGGACCTCATAGGGTCAACAGAAATGGTCATAAGCTTCCAAATGATGGATACAACTGTTAGGTGTGAAAGATCAGGAAATACATGAGAAGGTTCAATTAAGCTGATTTATTGTTAAAAGTATATGCACTCAGTTAGATAAGGGTCAATGGCACTCAAGACAGATTGGATTTAGTTCCCTTGTGTCTACGTAGGGATGCTAAGCCGATTCCTCTTGTAACGCCATCTCCCTCTTCTGCCATTCCTTCCCCTACAGCAGGGGTGTGAAACTCAAGGCCCATCGGCCAGATCCGGCCCGCGGGGTGCTTAGATCTG